CGAGTGTGTGCAGGTGCATATATATACATGTATAGCTGTAACAATTTGAAGTCTTCAAGGCTTCATCTGGGTGGACAGGATAGGAGGTAGACTGAATCATGATATGGATCGTATTTTGGTACATGGAAAAGATTTGGGATTCTAGAAACTTCTGTTTGTACACATGCCAGATTGTATTTAATGGTTGTGTCATTGCCTCTGCCAAGCTGACAGCACCTTCGTGATTCCTTTCACAGGTTGCTGAGTCATGTTCCAGGCAGAGGGGTGCATGACATAGCAGGGGTTCTTAGTTTAGTGCAGACTCCCAAAGGCACACCTAGAAGCAGGAGCCCTGTGACATGCTCATCATAGCTCCTTTTTGAGGTTAGGGTCCATCCTGGTCTTTTCAAAGCGCTGAAGAGGGGACTGGAGAGATGGTCATTGGTTAAGAGCACTTGCTGTTCTTGCAGAGGACACAGGTTCAGTTCCCAGAGCCCACATGGTAGCTCACAACCATCTGTAATTCCAGTTCCTGAGTATTTGATGTTCTTTTTGGCCTTTTCAGGCACCAAGCACACACATGATGCATATACGTGCATTCTGGCAAAAACACTCACACACATAAAAATAAATAAATATTAAAAAAGAAAGTTCTGAGGAGTCCTGTAATAAAGGAACCTATTTACTTCATTCAGCCAGATTCACGCCACTTAATAAATGTTTGCTGAGTAAATCTAGCCTTTTGAATATTGTTGTATGTTTTGGTCCCTAGCTCAAGAGGAGGTCTAAGACACATAGACCCATGGGTAGACACGCCGCTGCAAGCAACCTCTGGCTACATAGGAACTGAGGATTTGTTCTCCGATGCTCCCATGGAGACAGGAAGCTCTGGGTTGAACATGAAGCCCCAGTCTTTGCAGCTAGTGCTGGAGGAACAGGTGTTGGCATTGCAGCAGCAGATGGCGGAGAACCAGGCTGCCTCTTGGCGGAAGCTGAAGAACTCCCAGGAGGCCCAGAAGAGGCAAGCAGCCCTTGTGAGGAAGCTGCAGGCCAAGGTGAGGCGGATGCCCCTCGGGAAGGGAAAAGAAACCCCACCCCTGGTTGAGTGCTAGAGCAGGGTAAGGGCTGGGGGAGGGAGAGACATGGAGGGGAATGGACCAAACATCCTGGTGAGGCTGGCCCAGATAGTCCACCTCAACCATAGCCTCTCCTCTGATGGTCCCAACTACTCCACAAAGTATGGATTATGTTCCCTCCACATATGACATTCACAATAGTTAAATTAGTTGTCTAGGTTTGTTCTCTTAGTCTAGAACAGTGGTTCTCAACCTTCCTAATGCTGCAACCCTTTAATACAGTTCCTCATGGTGTGGTGGCCCCCGACCATAAAGTTATTTTCATTGCTACTTTATAGCTGTAATTTTGCTACTGTTATGAATCATAATGTAAACATTTGTGTTTTCTGATAGTCTTAAATGACCTCTGTGAAAGAGTTGTTCAACCCTCTCAAGGGGTCTCAACATACAAAATGAGAACTGCTAGTCTAGAACTAAGCCCAAACCCGATACACAAGGGATATAGAAAATGCGTGTGTGTGTGTGTGTGTTCGTGTGTGTGTGTGTGTGTGTGTGTGTTTTGGACGCATGTAAACTGTGAGTATGAGTAGGGAGACCAGAGGTCAATGTTGAGTATCCTCTTCTACCACTCTCCACCCTATTTTGTAAGTTTTATTTTGTGTATTGTGTGTATATGTCTGTGTAAGTGTGTAACGTGTATGTTGGTGCCCTCAGAGGGCAGCTGGAGTTACAGACAGTTGTGAGCCTTGCTGGGTGCTGGGTGCTAGGAACCAAATTTGGGTCCTCCAGAAGAACAGCGAGCTTTTAAGCACTGATCTCTGTCTTCAGCCTCCACCACATTGGTTTGTTTTTTTTTGGGGGGGGTTGTTTTGTGTGTGTGTGTGTGTGTGTGTGTGTGTGTGTGTGTGTGTGTGTGTGTGTGTTTGAGATAGGGTCTCCTTTTGTTTGCCACTGTATGCCTCAGGTGAAGTAGCAGTGAGCTTTGGGGATGCTCCTGTCTCTGCCTCTTGTCTGTCTGGCTGTAGGAGTGCTGGACTGCAGGCGCACATCACCCGTCTGGCTGTACTTGAGTTCTGGGATCTGGATTTGGGTCCTAATGGAAGGACAGCAAGTACTTTCCAATGGAGCTGCTCTTAAGACGCTGTGGCCTTACTTCCCCACCAGCACCTGCTTCCCATGTTCACAGCAGAGTTCCCAAGATCCCTGGAGCCTTTGGTTTGTGTTGTTTATGCAAGCTGTAGCTATGCTCAGGGTCTGCTCTCTTTGCTTTAGGTTTTACAGTACCGGAGCTGGTGCCAAGAGCTGGAGAAGCGGTTAGAAGCCACCGGAGTACGTGAGATTGAGTTCTGGACTTCCCTGAGCCCTTAAAATATACTTGCTTGCCTTTATATGCCGTCAAGGAAGCCTGCGGTTATACAGGGTGTTCAGTAGGAGCTCCTCTGTCTTCAGCTCCAAAGAGCTATTAGTAAGGTCTTCTAGAGATCCTTGACCTGAGGGATTCCATCCCATGGTTTTCCATTTATAAATGCAGTTTCCGGGGATTTGGAGTAGTAGAATGGGCATGTGGAATTGGAGGGGAAATTCATTTTTCATCCAGCAGGTGTCAGTCTTTATACGTCAGGAAGATGTGCAGCTCTGCATGCCCACAAGCGTGCCTGCAGTAGAGGGCTGTATTTGTTGCCCGGGTAGGACTGTCTCTGAAAGACCCTTTTGTCATTCTTTGTTCCAGCTCCCTTAGGCACCTCCTCCTTCCTTCAGAGAAGTTCTCAGAAGGGAAGAAGCAGAAAGTATTGGGCACCTTCTGTGCAGACCAGGGCACCACTAGGCAGTCTGCACTGTGCATCACTTAGTTTGCATACTCTGAGGAGATGGCAGCCACCTTCGTTTTGTGGTCTAGAGATGATGAGTGACTTCCTGAAGTCCCAGATTAGTGTGATAGAAGTCAGGGCCCTAGTGAAAGATGCAACCTACATTGCCCAGGTTAGGTGCCATTTACCCCAAATGCCATCTTTTGGGAGAGGTGATTGGTTCACTTTTGGAGAAAGGAGTGCAATGGGTTTGCTTTCACAGCAGTGACCAAGAAAAGAAGCAAACTGCTCCCAAGAGAAAGAATAAAAAAGAAAGTGGGCTGCTGTCGAAGGAGGCATCAGGGAATTGTCCTGGGTGCTGTTTTTGTGCAGTGTTCTAAGGCCTGTCTCTGTCTCCTAAGGGACTGATCCCTCAGCGGTGGGAAAGCGTAGAAGAGCCAAACCTGGAACAGCTGCTGGTCCGGCTGGAGGAGGAGCAGCAGAGGTGATGGACCCCAGCTTTCTAACCTGAGTGGTCGTGAAGAGGGTGGATGGGAAACTTCTGTTCCAAGAGTGAACATGTGGGGAGAGTGCTGGGCATGTGGGTAACGGAAGGCAGGCAGAAAGCAAAAAGAGGGAGGGAAGGAGAGGACCAAGCAGACTCCAATCCTCCGATTCATGCTCACTGTCTTACTCCCAGAAGGTCCGATGGTGGGAGCAGACCTTTATTTTGCACTTGCTCTTACCGATTCCCAGTACAGGTGTGAGAGCCTAGTGGAGGTGAACACGGAGCTTCGGCTGCACATGGAGAAAGCTGATGTGGTGAATAAAGCCCTTCAGGAAGATGTGGAAAAATTGACAGTGGACTGGAGTCGGGCTCGGGACGAGTTAATGAGGAAGGAGAGCCAGTGGCGGATGGAGCAGGAGGTATGAAGAACAGGAGTGGAGTGTACACTCTGGGTGCTGTTCTGGGCAGTGCTGGAAAGGGTTAACTTTTGGACCAGGGTGGAAACTGATCTGTCATTGTTCCTGCCTCTGATTAGCCCCGCCCAGGCTGACAGCTGTACCCTGTTTCAGCTTTTTCTTGGTGCTGCCTAGTCTAGGCTTTGCTGGCAGGTAGTGTACCACTCAACTCCTGCCAAAGTGACTAGCCTTGGTTTCAAATGGATCTGAAGATGTGCTGTTTGCCTTTGTCTGGAGGTCTGCATAGCTAGATGCCAAAAAGGTAGCTGCTGGATTAAATGGAGGAGAAAACATAGTTATGGGCCCTGCAAGATTTCCAGTCACAGCTATAGACAGCAGATGTTTCCTGAACCTTTGCATGGTGCTGGGTCTGGGTGATGGGCATGTATTAGATCATCCAATTGTCCCGTCTACGGTAATAACTCCCATTTGCCAAGCAGCCACTGCATGTGGTTTTCAGATCTGGCCAAGTGGAAGGCGACATTTCGGCCAGGGCCCTTTGACCTCTTGAACCTCACTGCCAACTTCATTAAACCCTTCAGTATAACCTGAATATAGACACCCATTCATAAGCTCTCTGCTGGAAGTCTTCCCTCCCTCCACCCTCACCCAGCAGCCATGGGGAATCAGGACTCTTGTGTTGCTGCAAGGTCCCCTGCCCTCAGGTATGACTTTGGTTTCTGAATACAGTTCTTCAAGGGCTATTTGAAAGGTGAACATGGCCGTCTTCTCAGTCTGTGGCGTGAGGTGGTGACCTTCCGACGTCACTTCCTGAAAATGAAGTCGGCTACTGACAGGTCAGTATGGGCATGAGAAGAGAGGTTCACTCCTGCTGGTCTGGACTTAAGGCAGCAGACTCTGTAGAAGAGGAACTGCAGACAGTGGCTGGGAGGGAGATTTACTGAATACAGATCTTCTCAGACCTGCCTCTTAGGCTTCCTGGCCTTATGGCCAAGCTCTCGTCCTTGGTTCCTTAGAGTCTTCAATCTTCCTTCCTGTACTCAGAGACCTGACAGAGCTAAAGGCTGAGCATGCCAAGCTCTCGGGGTCCCTGCTGACGTGTTGTCTGCGCCTGACCGTGAGAGCACAGTCTCGTGAATCCACTGGATCTGGGAGAGCGGAGGAGAGTGAGCCGGCCCAGCTGCTGCTGCTGGTGGCTAAGACGCAGGCGCTGGAGAAGGAAGCCCACGAAAAGAGCCAAGAATTAATACAGCTGAAGAGTCAGGGGGATCTGGAGAAGGCCGAGCTCCAGGACCGGTGAGGTGACCCGTGGTCCCAGGAGGAACTTACTGAGAGAAAGCTGACTCCCCTAGAAAGTTGTGGGTGGGCAGAAAGGATGTCAAGAACACCCCCACCCTAAGAGGGGAGGAAATGTGACCTCTGAGTCTAGTTAGGAACCCAGGGTCTCAGTTGGGGTCTGTCACTGTCCCTCTGGCTACCTTGCACCTCAGTCTCTTTCCTGATAGTTTGTGTTGCCAGCTGGTCTCTGTCTGTAGCAGTCTCCTCCCAGCCATACTCTTCCTCACTTCTGTCTTCATGTGCTGACCTTAGCCTGGAGTGCCTCCCTCCTTCCCTCTGCCTGCCCTTAAAGGTGGAGTTCACATGTCACCTCTTCTGTGACTTGTCTGACTTCAGTAGCTTATAGTCCTGAGTTATTGACCTGCTTGTTACAGCACTGATCTTACTGTATCTCTTTAATTACTCTGTTTCTCTGGACCCCTCCCTACTTGTGGTGGTGGAGGGGAGGCTTCTTTGTTTTTGCTGTGCTGGAGATTGAATTCAGGGCCTTACATATGCTAGTCAAACATTCTACCATTGAGCTATACCCCACCTTGGCTGTTTTCACTTGTGGATTATAATAAGATGGGATTTTTAAAATAATAAGAAGGGAAGACATGAGCAGATTACCACTGACTATCAAGGCAAAGTCTGTGTGTCATACTAGGGTTCTGTCCCTACCTATTGGTGGTATATATAAGTTGCAGACTGTTTTATTTTCTTTTTGCTTTTGGAAACATGAAGAACAAAGATCATATCTTAGTAAGTTTGTATTTATTGTTTTGTGCTGTATCTCTCATATAACAGATAATTATTTGTTGAACGATACAATATTTAAATAAAAGACAATACAGTGATTCAGGTCCCCAGAGGTGATTCATAATAAAATTATTAAGGCTTAAAATTTTCTTTTAGCCAGGTGTGGTAGTCATCACTTTTGTCGTTGTTATTTTTGGTTTTTTTTGTTTTTTGTTTTTTTTTTTTTCAAGACAGGGTTTCTCTGTATAGTCCTGGCTGTCCTGGAACTCACTCTGTAGACCAGGCTGGCCTTGAACTCAGAGATCTGCCTACCTCTGCCTCCCCACTGCTTGGGATTAAAGGCCAACACTGCCTGACTGGTAGTTGTCACTTTTAATCCCAGCTCTTTGGAGTTATAAGCAGGCTTGAACTCTGTGAGTTCAAGGTCATCCTGGTCTACACAGCAAGTTCTAGACCAGACAAGACTATGTAGTGAGAGCTGGCCTCAAAAATGAATGAATAAGTGAGTGAATGAATAAATAAATAAAGACTCCAAGTAACATTAATTTAAGAAATACTTGTTAGTCAGGTGTCATGGCTCATGCCTATGATCCTAGTACTCAGGAGGCTGAGGCAGAGGATTTCTAGTTCAAGGTCATCCTGGACTACATAGAGAATTTCAGGCAAGACTGGCTACATACTCAGATGCTGCCCCTAAATTACGAAAGAGGAAAGAAAGCCATGCTTGTAATACTACTCACAAAGCTCTGAGATGTGCTGTTAAATGATATAGCTGTTGGTGATTTTGCTGGACATCGTTAGCTGTATTGTCTCCCAAGTCATCTGTCCTTTTTCCCTATCAGAGTCAAAACCTTGGGCTGGAGGGATCTTGGGACTATCCCCTGTGGTGGCAATTCTGATGTTCTTATTGGCTTCAGGGTGCTTGACTTCACAATCAAGCGAGGCCTGGAAGGGCCTGGGCCAGGGCTTTCCTTCAGCTCTCGGGCCCACAAACCCGCGTTCCAGTCTTGAGATGTGGTAAATCCCTGCATGTGTCTGAGTGGCTTTGGCTTTCCCCACCAGATCAAGACTATAGACTCACATGTTATTCAGGGAGTGCAAAGGACTGGGCATACCCAAGGGGTTCTGGGAGCTGCAGTGGGGGTGTCCATGTCGGGGCTGAGGTGTGCTGTTGTGTGGCTTTGTCCACGTCCTTGGGCTATCCAGGAGACAGTGCTGTGCTTTTTTCCTTAGAGTGACAGAGCTCTCTGCTTTGCTGACCCAATCTCAGAAGCAAAATGAAGACTATGAAAAGATGGTAAAGGCTCTGAGGGAAACAATGGAGATCCTGGTATGTGACCCTCTGTTGCAGAGGAGCCCGGAGTGGGTTGACAGGTTCCTTGTTCGTGGACAAGTAGTGAATGGAACCAGTTAAATGGTCCTTGGTGAAATCCTCCAAAGCTGAAAAGTAAACTTTCGCTGAATCTGAAAATTAGTTAACTCGTTCATTTACCTGGTCAATAAAATAATAACTGTCCACTATCCTGACTGAACTCCTGGGGAAATTACAATAACATATATATGAAATGTGGCCTTGTCTGAGAGAGAGACTTGTCATAGTGAGTTTGAGGCCAGTGTGAGCTACATGAGACCCTAAGGAAAGCTAAAGGGGCAGGATTGAGCAAGGTGTCAGGAAGGGATCTGGGGAGACAGCTGAGGAGTACGGCAGTACTTAGTCTGGAGAAGAAAGGATGTGAGGAGGAGAGGCTGGCTGCCCTCATATCTCCGAAAGTAGAGTTGATGGGGAAAAGCGAGTTGACCAGTTTAATGTTTTCCAGGGTAGAGCGTCCACAGTGGTAGAAGTTATAGATGAGGTAGTGGGTTTTGACTCAAGCTGGAGCTATCGCTTGAACAGTGTGTGTCTTATGAAAGAGTGCAGCTGTGCTCACTGGCTTAAACATCTGTCAGGGATGTCACAGAAGTGACTCTCCAAGATGGGATGGCAGAATCCCTGGCTTGATTCTGTGTTTCTTTTCATCTCAACACATTTTTGGTCACTGACTTTTGGTAACTGCTGAACCCCTATCCACATGTGTACCCCTACTCTCATGTAGGTTGGAGTCCACTAGAAAGCAGACCTGTGCCCCTTTAATTCCTTTCTGTCAGGAATTTGCCACGGCAGACATCCACAGGGCTCAAGTAACTTAAAATGAGTGATGTTGGATTGCAGAGAGTTCTGGTTTTCCAAGGCTGTCCAAGTTTTCACTGCTGATAGAACGGGGCAGTCATTTCGGTTTTTAATCATCTATTCTGAGCCTTTTGTTGCCATGTTACATTGTTTCAGACTCCCTGGGACGGGATGGTTGACAGAGTAGAATATGTCTTTGATTGATTTGGGGACAAGAATGCTGAATTCTCTTTGGAGAGTTTGGTGCTTAGGCCCTGTTCTGTCCCCTTACCAGGAGACAAGCCACGCCGAGTTAATGGAACAGGAGGCATCTCTGAGCAGGAATGCCCAAGAGGAGAAGTTGTCCTTGCAGCATGTGCTCAAGGACATAACTCAGGCACTGGTAAGCTCTCGTCCTGTAACGGACAGTGCCCCTCCTCCTGTCCTCTCATGCCTTGATTTCTAGGCTGAGGTTGGGCTGAGGGTCGTGTCAGGGTAGGTTCTCTCAGTGCGCGTGAAGATGGGACCCTGAAGTGTAGGTAAGCATCACGTCCTGGCCCTGGGTACGGGCAGCCGCTCTATCTTGCTGCTTGCTGAGGTTCTTAGGCCATAGGCTGGATTCCGTCTTTGTCATTGCAGTGGCATTTTCTTCCCCTTTCCCCTCACTTACTGCCCCAGAGAGAATTCTAGCCTCATTGCTGACTATACTTGGGTGACCAAACATGAAGAGTTGAAGGGACCAGTCTTGTCTTGCTCTCAGGTTGCCTTCCCTGTCCCTGCCCTAGGGGTAGGACCTGTGAAGGAACCCTTCAGGTTCTCCGCTCTGAGTGCAAGTCTCTCGGTGACACAGGGTTGCATTTCAGGCCTCAGTGGAAGAAGAGGACACTGTGACCCAAAGCTCAGATCGCGAGAGCTCATTGCAGTTGGACTGTAGTGGCTTCTCCCCGTTTGACCCCCAGGACCCAGACAAGGCTCTTACTCTGGTGCGTTCAGTGCTGACTCGGAGGCAGCAGGCCGTACAGGTGAGAAGCCCCGGAGCTGCTCCCCAGCCACAGGGATGGGTACCCCCAGCACATCTCCAGGCTGGAGTGTCCCCTTCAGCTAGCCAGTCAGAATGTGTTCAGTTGCACATTAATTTCTCTGTTTGCCCAGTGGTGCTTGTGGCTTACAGGTGTGTATATTCTCCACACCAATTGCGTGTATGTATCTTTGAGTGCCGCTAAGCAGAGTCCTGGGAGAGTGTAAATGTTTCCCAACTCCAAGCGGCCCTGACTGTCCCTTCTGCCACTACGTCTGAGGATGGCTTCAAGACTCTAGAGCTACAGAACCCAGTAACCCCTGATTCTTGGACATCTCAGGTGGCCACGTTTCTGTTCTCAGCTTGCCTTGGAGCCGTTCCTTTGATTTGGCTCCTTGCTCTTCACATCATTCTGTGGCTCTCCTTCCACAGGACCTCAGGCAGCAGCTCTCGGGCTGCCAGGAGGCTATGAGCTTCCTGCAGCAGCGGCATGATCAGTGGGAGGAGGAGGGCAGAGCCCTGAGGGAACGGCTGCACACGCTCACTGGGGAGCGGGATGCTCTGGCCGGGCAGACGGTGGACCTTCAGGGAGAGGTGGACTCTCTCAGCAAGTGAGTGAACAGGCTGCTTGCCCTTACCTTCCATGTCTGGTTTTGGTTTTGGTTTTTTAAAGGAAAGCAAAGCCTTCAACAGTTTGTTTTGCTCTGTATCTGGTTTTACTTATGGTTTTGTAGGGCTGGGAATCAAACCCAGAACCTTAGGCTTGTTAGGAAAGCACTCTTATGACTGAGCTACATTCTCAGTTCTCCAGTGTCTGGTTTTAGTCCTCAGTTAGCCACTTACCCATCACTGTCCTGTATTTGATTGACTCTTCCTGTTGTCCGGGATCCATGGATGCTTAAGGCTGCTTTGGTTTTTATTCTATTTCCTGTGGGAAAATCCTTTGGGTTGGGGTCTTTAAGATCGTATAATAAATGGTTTTCTGCTTGGAAAAAAGTTTTATATATGTACATGTATATATACATACATATATGAGATGTTGAAAAGAAGCAAGCTTCTCTCGCCTTCTGCTCTACACGGTCTTGTTCCACCAGGATCTCTGGTCCCCGGGTCTGTTCATCTCTGATCTGTGTTTCAGGGAGCGAGAGCTGCTGCAGAAGGCCAGGGGAGAGCTGCAGCAGCAGCTGGAAGTGCTGGAGCAGGAAGCATGGCGACTTCGAAGAGTGAACGTGGAGCTGCAGCTGCAGGGGGACTCTGCTCAGGGGGAGAAGCAGGAGCAGCAGGAGGAGCTGCACATGGCCATCCGTGAGAGGGAGCGTCTGTAAGTGTGACCAGGCCTCTCCTCACCAGGGCCTGGCCTTCCTTCAGGTCCACACCTTCCCCCACCCCATTCCTCTCTTCGGAAGTAGAATGCCTAAAGCCTGCAATGGTTCACATTAGCTTACTGCTGCTTCCTTTGTCGAAGGATGAGTTCAGAAGATTCATCTAGACACTGTTGAGTCCCTACAGGGACATGGGTGGGACATGGGTGGGCTACAAAAATGAGTAAGGTACTGACCATGATCTCAAGGAGCTTGAAATCGAATGAGAAGTCAGACAAGCAAACAACTGGACACGAAGCTAGAAGAAATATGGCTTCACTAGAGCTCAAGCTTGGTGGTTTGGAAGCATATGAGCAACAGTTAACTATTGAGAACCAGGGGCAACTCATGGAGGAGGGGTAGACTTTGAGTGGGACCTTGACCTAGTCTGCCTTGTAGAAAAAAGGACCCAGGGGACAGAATAGCAAAGAAAAGGAAGTAGGAGTTTTGTGGCATGTTCAGAGTTAGCTGGCTGTGAGAAGATAAGGCCACTGGGACGTGATAGGAAATTGACTGGTCAGGAAGGGAAATCCAGGGTCAGTGCCCCCAAGCTAACCTGTAAATTCCACCAGGTAATGCTGCAGTAAGGAACTGTAGGGCAGGACAGAGGCTTGCTGCAGATCCTGGCTTTGCCACTGGAATGGGTTAGTCTCTTGGCAAAATGGAGATGTTATTTGAAGAGTTATTGGAAAGATGGAGCAGTACTTCATAAAATCCTAGCATAGGGCTGTCAGGATAGCTCGATGTGAGTTCAGTCCTCTGACTCCCATGATTGTTCTTTGACTTCCATGTGTACTGTGGTTCCCTCCCCACACACAAATAAATGCAATTCATTTTTTGTTTGTTTGTTTGAGACGGGGTCTCTCTCTGTAGTCCTTGCTAGCCAGGTACTCACTTGTTAATGCCAGCAGAGCCCTGGCAGCAGCTCTTCCCTTGGTATAGTCCCCTCCTCTGTGCCTAGTAAACAGTGGAAGCTTGAGGAAGCTTGAAGGTCTGCCAAAGGGTAGAGCCATGCCCATGTCCTGCACTGAGAGCACAGCAGACAATCCACACAGATACAGCAGACAATCCACACAGTGTTTAAAATGTAATCTCTCTGACTCGATAATATAGTTAGACAAGTCAAAAGCCAAAGCTGTTGAAAAAGATACCAGGGTATATTGGCTCACACCTGTAATCTCAACACTTGGGAGGCTGAGGCAAGAAGATTGCTGTGAGTTCAAAGCCAGCTTGGGCTGCAGAGCAAGACCCTGTCACAATAAACAAACAAACAGGGAAAACCCACCTATTTAGAAAGATGCACACAGGGAAGTGTCGCCATCTTTGCTCGCTCCGGCCTTCCTTCTGTTGGAAACCATTTCAGGTAGCCCGTGTTTACCTGTGCAGTCCACTTCATGCAGAGTCTCTGCTTTCTCTTACGTTTTTCATGAAAGGCAGTACACTAACACACTTGTTAATGCACCTTGCTTTTTTCACTTGCTCTTAGAGAGCTTTCCTTATTAGTTTTTAGTAACTAATTCCACATTTTTAAAATAGAAAAAAATAATTAGATTCCTGTCCCAAACACTTCCCCTAGCTCCCTCTCCTTCCCTTCTTAGTCAGGAGACGCTGGCGAGCCTGGAAGCCAAACAGTCAGAATCACGAAGTGAGCTGATCACTCTTCGGGAAGCCCTGGAGTCAAGTCGCCTAGAAGGGGAGTTACTGAGGCAAGAGCAAGTGGAAGTGACGGCAGCCTTGGCCAGGGTATGTGGCCTTCTCACTTGGAAGTTGTCTTCCCAGGAAAGGGGCTTGGTGGCTCATTCTTCACTCTTCAGACTTCAAATCTTCCTATCTTTCTCTTCAATCCCTAGTCTGCTCTGGCTCCTCTCCCTCCCAACATGCCCTCTACATTGGGATTCAATGAGTTTTCTAAAGTATAAATCTGGTTGTTAGTCTCTTCAAGTCGCCCCATGGGGGCTGGAGGTGGCTCAGCAGTTGAAAGAATGCACACCGCTCTTGCAGAGGACCCGAGTTCACTTTCCAGCACCCACATCAGGTGCTAACAACTGCCTGTAACTCTAGGAGAATCTGACGTCCTCTTCTGAACTTCATGGGTGTGGCACTCATATTTGTACTTGTATTCCTTCATAAGAAAAGAGACACAGACACCTATATACACGTGATTTAAAAATATACATCTTTAAAAGAAAATTCAATGGCTTCTCAACTCTGGTACCCCATTCAACACCCTTTGCCATCTGCTTCAAACTATTCCCTTCCCAAGCTCACCCACACTCCAGCTATCCTCTGTTCTCGCCACAAGCATCAGCTGCGTTCTCGGGTCATCTTCTTCATGACTAATGCACTATACACACTTTTCTTTCGTCTTGACTCCCAAGAACCATCTCCCTGTCATTGTTCACTGTCCCAAGCATTTTCTCCTCTCCAAATTGAACTGATGCCTTCTTTGAGTTTTCATTTGTGCTCATAGTTTCTATACTGTCATGACAATCATAGTTTGCACATCTTTCTGTGTTTCTATTCTGTGAGCACCTTCTCATGAATGAATGAATGAATGAATGAATGAAAACCTTGTTTAGAATGGAAAGGAAGAGATGAAATATTTTACAAAAAAAAGCAGGTATTGGGAGTGTGTACGGTTTACTGTCCATGAAAACTCAAAGCAGGAAACTAACCCTTTTGTTTTTAGGCAGAACAGTCCATTGCAGAGCTATCAGCTTCCGAGAACAGCCTGAAGGCCGAGGTAGCTGATCTTAGAGCTGCAGCTGTCAAGCTTGGGGCCTTAAACGAGGCTTTGGCTTTAGATAAAGTTGGGCTGAACCAGCAGCTCCTCCAGGTGAGCGAAGAGTTGATTCTCAGGAGGGGCTGGGCCTTATCTGAGGATTAGCCATTAGTGGACAAAGCTGATGCCTGACTGAGTAGGGGGAGAGTCCTCAGTGGTCAGCCCCCAAGTGTAGCTGAAGTGAGCAAGAGGGACATTTACTGTGCAGAGAGCAAAGGGTTGGACTTACGCACTGTAGATTCCCTTCTCTGGACCTCCAGCAGAACCTTTGAGCTGTGGATAAATTATCAGGACTAGGGAAGGGTCCATGTCCCTGGAAGCAAGGCTAAGTGTTTAATTCTACTGGGTGAGGCAGATCTGTTGAATGGCCCAAGTGCCCCCAAAATCACCTCTGTTGGTTAAAAATTTAACCTGTCGTTTTAGTGGGGAAAACTGCTTGCTTCCCGTTCCCCTGAGACCCAGAAATGTCATTATCTGGGTGTTTTGTTTGTTTTGTTTTTGAGACAGTGTTTCATGCTACCAAGACTGTGATCCTCCATCACTTCCCAAGTGCTGGGATCACAGGCTTGCACCACCACCTGGTATTATTCTGAATTCTCTGAAAGCGAGATTTTGCCTTTTTTATCTCTATCCCAGCATCAGGCCCGTCTAGAATATAAACACCAGATCAAATGAATGGGTCTCCCCATCTCTTCAGAGCACTCCCATGTCCAGCTATAGGGGGCTCCAGGCACACCCTCCAAAGCGTAGGGAGCCCACCCATTGCCTTGATGCCTTGTGCTCCCTTCTTTCTGGCCAGTAGTTGGAGCAGGAGAACCAGTCTGTGTGCGGCCGAGTGGAGGAGGCCGAGCACTTGAGAAGTGCTCTGCAGGTGGACCTGGAAGAGGCAGAAAGGCGCAGGGAAGCCCTGTGGGAGAAGAGAACTCAGCTGCAGGCTCAGCTGCAGAAGGCAGAGGAGACAGGGGCTGAGCTCCAGGCAGAACTGCAGAGTGTCCGAGAAGAAAAGGAAGAACTTAAAGAGAAACTAAGTGAGGTGAGAGACCGCTTCCCTCCTGCCACAGTGTAATACACGCTCCTGTAAGCAGAGGACTCAGAGAATGCCAAGGTCTTACTTTGGAGTGACTTAGTGTCAGGGAGGTGTCTTCCCTTTGCTTTAAGGAATTTCTGTCAAAATCTGTCACTGACTCCCCGCCGCCCCACTCCTACATGTTTTTCCCTGTATTCTCTGCTAGTTCATGCTTAGTTCAAACATCTACAGTTCTTATGCTATTCTTATTTGTTTGATATCCTTAAAGGCCAGCCTATGTTGTTTACTTAATTCTTTATTTTGGTCTTTTGAGACAGAGTCTTAACTCTGTGGCCCTGGCTGGCTGGAATTCACTATATAGACCTCAAACTTGAGTGTCCCACCTGCCTCTGCCTCCTGAGTGCTGAGATTATTAGATACCATGTCCAGCTAAGGCCATGTCTGTCTGTCTTTCTGTTTGTTTGTTTGTTGTTTGTATTCGAGACGGTCTTTCTGTATTGTGGTTGTTTTTTGACTCACAGTTTGAGGGGACATGTCCCATCATAGTGGGAAAGCATGGCAGCAGATGTCTATGTGGTGGCCGGGTTTGTGGCAGCTGCTTGCCTGCATCTTAACTACCAGGAGACAGAGAAAGGGGAATGAACTGTTCTGCTGGGCCTTCTCCTGTTGCCCTTTTAATTGATTCTGAGACTCCAGTCCATGGGATGTTGACATCCATATTCAGATGGTTTTCCTCCTCCACTGGCATCTTCAGAGATACACGCCGAGGTGTGTCTCCTAGGTGATTCTAAAGCACCAAGCTCACAATGAAGGGTAATCCATGCTTTCCCTACCAAACTTCTCATTGCTCTAATACTTGAACAGAATCCATTCTTAGAGTCCCTTCTCAGGCGTTAGTCACTTTCTTGGTGTATATGTGGGTCCTGCTATCCGAAGCACAGAGTCTCTCACCCATAGGAAAACATCCTTTCTGACCTGGGGCCTCCTGATTGATCAAGGAAGAAATAAATAAATGCCAGTTATTCCTGGGTCAGCAGTATTCAGTGCTGGGTCCAGAGTCTCTGAAGCCCCTGGGCCCCTGGCTTACTGACAGCAGCCCTGGGATTCTGCCTCACTCTGTATCTCATTAGTTCCTTTTCCTCAGGCACATCACCAGCAAGAAGCAGCTACAGCTCAGCTGGAGCAGCTGCGTCAGGATGCAGAGCGACAGGGAGAAACACTTGCTAGAGCAGTCCTGGAGAAGGAGGCCCTCGTACGGGAGAGGGCAGCTCTCGGGGTGCGCCTGCAGGCTGTGGAGCGGGACCGACAGGACCTCACTGAACAAGTCCTGGGGCTCAGGTAGGCTCCACACTTAGCTCAACCAAGCACAGAGAGCTTTGCAAGGCTAAGCTAAACTCCCTGTTCTACATGTTGAATTCTAAATGAGCTGTAGACATGCAATTGCCCCATAACTTCTCTGTGTAGCCTGTACTTCCCCAGTCCCTCTTAAGAAAGGGTAAGGGGCCGGGCGGTGGTGGCGCATGCCTTTAATCCCAGCACTCGGGAGGCAGAGGCAGGCGGATCTCTGAGTTCGAGGCCAGCCTGGTCTCCAAAGTGAGTTCCAGGAAAAGCGCAAAGCTTCATAGAGAAACCCTGTCTTGAAAAACCAAAAAAAAAAAAAAAAAAAAAAGAAAGGGTAAGGGGCTTGATGGGGTAGAACTCTTGCTGATTCCTAAATCTCAGGTCAGCCAAGGAACAGCTGGAGAGCAATCTCTTTGAGGCCCAACAGCAAAATTCTGTGATAGAGGTCACCAAGGGGCAGCTGGAGATCCAGATTCAAACTGTCACTCAAGCCAAGGAAGTAATTCAAGGTGAGAGCCCGCAGGAGGGGGCATGCTGCATTTCACATGATGTTAACAGCCAAGAGGGCAATGGGAAGCTTTCCTCAGCCAGACTCGGGGCCTCTGAGTGGAAGTTGCTCATGGGGTGGGGGGCAGGGAGACTATTATTAGGTAAAAGGATGGGGCAGAGGCTCAGAGATATCCTGTCTGGCATCTAGGGGAAGTGAAGTGTCTGAAACTGGAACTGGATGCTGAGAGGAGCCGGGCAGAGCAGGAGCGGGATGCAGTAGCCAGGCAGCTAGCCCACGCTGAGCAAGATGGGCAAGCAGCTCTGGAGCGCCAGAAGGCGGCCCACGAGGAGGAGGTGAACGGGCTCCAAGGGAAATGGGTAGGTGGCGGGTGTGCTGGGGGCCAGGAGAGGCCGTGAGTCTCTTCAGTGAGTCTGCCACCTGCTCCCCCTGGTCCAGTGTTTGCTGCTTAGAAGGGTGAAATTTGATCGCCAGGATATAAAATCCAGTTTAATAATCCTCAATCCCAGAATGCCTGTCTCTGTCTCAACTTTGGCCTCTGCTTTCTGAGGCAGGATACCTCGTTGTGGCCTAGTAGGCCTCAGACTTGAACAGCGTCCAGCTATTAAATAAGGTAGCATATGAAAAAAAACTAAGACTAGTTCTTGGTGTAGTGTGAACACTGTAATTGTAAGCTCTCAATGTCTGTGTGTGTGTGTGTGTGTGTGTGTGTGTGTGTGTGTGTGTGTGTGTGCTACTTGATATGTATAAAGACTTAAACGTGGACCCTGGGAGCAGCCATGGCAGAGCACAATTATAATCCCAGCATTCCGGAAGCAGGAGGCTTGTGAGTTCAAGACTACTTGTGTTACAAAGAGATAGCCTTTTTCAAAATACAAAGAGACTTCCAGAAGTGATGGTGCTTGCCCGTGGGCCCTGCATGGATGCCACACGGGCTCTTCGTACATCTGGTTCCCTTCCATCACAGTAGGATGGACTTTCTGCATTGCTAATGCCAGTCTGTCTTCTAGTGACTTTCTGTTTGTCCAACTGAGCAGAGGACCGTTGTCAGCAGGAGGCAGGGTTGGCTGATTCAGTTCAATTCAACCATGATGTGGCTTTAAAAATAACAGTTGTAACTTCTATGGGGGTTAGAAAGCACATTTGCATGTTTTTTGTTTGTTTGGTTTTTGAAACAGGGTCTCTCTTTGTAGACCAAGCTGTCTTGGAACTCACTATATAGACCAGACTGTTCTCAAACTCCTAAGGATCCACCTGCTTCTGCCTCCCAACTGCTGGATTTAAAGGCATGCACCACCATGCCCAGGTTATACATCTTTTTAAATTTTTTATTTATTTATTTAGGGTTTTTTTTTTTTTAATGGGTTTCTCTGTGTAACAGCCCTTGGCTGTCCTAGAACTCATTTTGTAGACCAGGCTGGCCTCAAACTCACAGAGATCCGCCTGATGCTGCCTTCCAAGTGCCGAGATTAAAGGTGTAGGCCACCACTGCCTGGCCTATATATCATTTTAAAAAAAAAATCTCACTTGACTCTTAAGTTTTAGTGAGATAGATAAGGCAGGGATTGTTAAGCCTCCCTTCAGAAATGATCACCAGGCTGAGAGCAGTGCCCAAGTCACAGTGAGGCAGCGGGGAGATTCAAACTCCAAAGCAGCTCTCCTGCCTCTTCTGCTCATCCACTGGTTCTAACAGTGTGGTTTCCTTCACATGGTCAGGAGAAAGAGCGCTCCTTGCTTCAGCAGGAGCTGGATAAGACCCTGGAGACCCTAGAAAGGGAGAGAACGGAGCTGGAAGCAAGGCTGAGAGAGCAAGAGACAGAAGCTAAAGCCATCCGTGCACAGAGGGATGAGGAGCGAGCCCAGGCTGACAGCACCCTGTACCGAGTAAGCAGCTTGGAGTATCAGAACCTCGCCATCTTTTGAGTCCCCCAGTTTTTTACCACTTCACCATTCCAATGCAGGGCTCGAGCGGGGCTTCCTGAAGACAGTGTAGCTACCACTTTGCTGCTCGGGAGTGGGCTAAGATGCAGTTAGCGGCAAGGAGGCAATATGTCATACTTCCTGAGGGAGGGCCAGCACTTACCACATCCTGTCAGCTTGCAAACCAGTGGCAATCTTTGCACTTCCTGGTTCTAAGTTAATGGTCTTAGACTTTCCTTTGCTCTCAGCCTTCATCCTTGAGGAAGAACTTGGAGCAGGTGTGATATGCTTATGGCCTCCCGGGTGAACATGGTAATCCAGAGCCATGAAGCCCTTCCTGCCTTTCCACAGATGCAACTAGAAACAGAGAAGGAGAGAGTGTCCCTCCTCGAGACACTGTTGCAGACCCAGAAGGAGTTGGCAGATGCCAGTCAGCAGCTGGAAAGGCTGAGGCAGGACATGAAGATTCAGAAGTTACAGGAGCAGGTATGGAGGGTGTTCCTGGGTCTGATCCTTCTGCCTTCTCCTAAATGCAGGGATTACAGGTGTGGACCACAACACCCAGTTTTATGTATTGTTAAGGATTGAACCTCAGGGCTTCATGAATGTAGGCAGAGTTGTCCTGTCCCAACCACCTGCTCCCAAATAACTGACACAGAGGCTTAATATGAATTATAAATGCTCATCCAATAGCTCACGCTTGTTACTACCTAACTCTTACATTTAAAGTAACCCATATTTCTTACCCATGCTTTGCCACCTGGCTCATGGCTTGTTATCTCATTTTCTACATGTCCTGCTTCCTCAGTGGCTGGCTGATGACTCCCTGACTCCGCCCTTCTTGTTCTTAGCCTCCTCTGTGTCTGGCTGTCCTGCCTATACTTCCTGTCTAGCTACTAGCCAGTCAGCTTTTTATTAACAAATATGTAATACATATTTACAGTGTACAGAAGTATTATTCCACAGCACATGAATGCTAGGAGGCAGTTTTTAATTGTTTTATTTATTTAGTGTGTGTGTGTGTGTGTGTGTGTGTGTGTGTGTGTGTATACATGCATATGCACATGGCATGACATGCATATAGAATTCAACTTGCGGGAGTTGGTTCTTTCCTTCCACCATGTAGGACCCTGGAATTGACCTCAGGTTATTGTACTTGGCAGCAGCACCTTTACCCACCGAGGGTGGTTTTTGAAGGACACATGCGTAGGATTTCACTGTCATGGGGACCTGTAACAGACAGAGAGAGGCTTGGGAAATTCAAGGACAAAAAGAGGTGCATGGCTCTAGTGTGATGAACTCAGGGGAGAGAATGAAAGGAGACCTTTTTAGTCATCGTAGGAGCTTGGGTTTTGTTTTGAGGCCAATGGAAAACTAGTGAATGGTATTTTAAGAGCAGGGGGAACACATGATTTTTTAAAATATTTATTTTTATGTGTATGAGTGTTTTGCCTGCATGTGTGTATATATGCCATGTGCATGCCTGATGCCTGCAGAGGCCAAAGAGGACGTCAGATCCCCTGGAAACTGGAGTCACAGACAGTTATGAGCCACCATGTAAGTGTTGAGAATTGAACCTAGGTGTTCTGAAAGAGCCAAGTGCTCTGAACCACTGATCATTTCTCCAACCCCCGTGATACATCATTTTATATATTTCTATATACATATTTAAATATTTATTCTTTTATTATTGTCTTTTTGTGGTTCTGTTGATCAAACCTGGAGATTTGTACATGTTAGGCAAATGTTCAACTACTAAATTACAATGCCAGCCTAGAATATCTCTTTGAGGCTCTATTATGTAGCACCCACCTGCCTCTGCCTCTCTAGTGCTGGCCTTAAATGCATATGCCACCATGCCTGGCTAGGATATCTTTTTTTTTTTTTTTTTAAAGATTTATTTATTATGTATACAGTGTTCTGCCTGCATGTATGCCTGCAGGCCAGCAGAGGGTGCCAGGACTCATTATAGATGTTTTTGAGCCACCAGGTGGTTGCTGGGAATTGAACTCAGGTCCTCTGGAAGAACAGCTAGTGCTCTTAACCACTGAGCCATCTCTCCAGCCCTAGGATATCTTTTAATGCAGTACTTAACCAAGTGGAAGTGTGTGTGTGTGTGTGTGTGTGTGTGCAATCAAGTGGAAGTAGAGGTGTGTTCAGGAGGCTGTTAGCGGGTCTGAGTAAGAGTCAGTCACAAACTCTCGGCCTGTCCACAAGGTTGGCTGAGCCATGCAGTAGTGTGGAAGGAGGAGGGATAGGCTATAAAAATAGGGTGGGAAATGATATGCATTGCCAGTTCCTGGTTCAGCTTTGCCAACTCAATAGAAACAAAACACAGTATTTATACAACACAGATTTCAGGAGCTAGCCCCCATGGAAGCTTTTCTGCACTCACTCATCCTTTCTCTTATGTAGGAGACTACTGGCATGCTGCAGAACCAGCTTCGGGGAGCACAGCAGGAGCTGAAGGAGGCAGCCCAGCAGCACAGGGAGGAGCTTGCTGCCTCCGAGAAGGACAGGGTAGATCTACAGAAGCAGGTCTGTCCCTTTACCTGCCCTCCAGCCCTTCCCAGCACAGCTGACCCCTCCCACTCCCTTCTGTAGACAAGGGTCCCCAGTCCTGCTGCTTGAGCTTGGGAGGACAGGGACAGCTACAGAAATAACTGTGGAGTTGAAGGGTGTTCAAAGCTGATCATGTGCCTCTCAAGAGTTCTAGGGTTGTGTTATTAACCCTCCTTATCCACAGGTTCTGCCAACAGCTAACTGAAAATATTGGGAGGACATTGTACTGTAAATGTACAGACCTTTTCTTATTCTCTAAATAATATATAAGAACTGCTTACATAGTTTTTACATTGTATTAGGTACTGTTTACATTGTATTCAATATGATAAGTCACATGGAGATGATTTAAAATGTATAAGAGAATGTGAATAGGTTATAGTCACATACTATATAGTTTAATCCCAGCACTTAAGAGGTTGAGACAGGAGGATTGTTGAGTTTGAAGTCAATCTGAGCTGCATAGTGGGATTCTGTCTGTAAAACAAGAACAGGCTAGGAAGATGGCTCGGTTGATAAAGTATCCGCAGCACGTGCATAAGGATCAGATTCTCGGCCCTCACGAAAAGCTAGGTGTGGTGGCATGTGCTGATAATGCCGGGGCGGGGACAGGATCCCTGGAACTCACCTGTCAGCTAGTCTTGCTGACAGTAAACATCAGGTTTAGGAAGAGAGACCCTGCCTCAGTAAAAAAGGTGGAGAATGATAAAGACAAACATTAACCTCTGACCTCCATACACACACATTTGCACTCACATGCACACACACAAACATACACTTACACCATATGTACAGAACAAAGAGACCACTATGCGGTTTATATAAACGTCTGTAAACTTGGATATCCAGTGGAGATGTTACAGGATGCTGACACTACTGTTATCCCTTTGTCTGGAGTGACCATAAACTGACTTCTCAGGCAAGCCAGTGTCGGTCATCATTCCTGTCCTCACTAAATCTTACGTCTGTATCTACCACATGGCTTTTCCTTCTCATAGTCCGAGAGCAGGGGATGTTCTGAGTTTTTATTTAAAAAAAAAAAAAATGTGTGTGTCCGTGTATGGTCACTGTGGTCTTGCCCATCACTTTGCCTTTTGGTATAGTTGTATTCAACAAAGATTTTTATTTGTGTCTGCATTTATGTAGCATTTATAAGGCTATGGAGACAAACAGACTGAAGAGTTTGGGAGAAGGGAATAATTAAGAACAGGGTATGGTAGCCAGGCAGTGGTGGCACACACCTTTAATCCTAGCACTTGGGAGGCAGAGGCAGGCAGATCTCCATGAGTTTGAGACCAGCCTGGTCTACAGCCAGGACTGTTATATAGAAAAACCTTATCTCAGAAAACTAAAGAACAGGGTATGAAGCTGGGTGTTGGTGGTACACACCTTTGATCCCAGCACTCAGAAGGCAGAGGCAGGCAGATCTCTGAGTTTGAGGACAGAGCAAGTGCCAGGAAAGCCAGACTATAAAGAGAAACTCTGTCTTTAAAAAAAAAAAAAAAGAAAAAAAAAAAAAAAGAAAGAAAGAAAAAAGAAAAAGAATGGGGTGTGTGTGTGTGTGGTGTGCACTTTGATAGTTCAGAACCATCTTCTACAAATTGTCTGCTGACCTGCACAAACATGTCATGGTGTGTGTTTGAGTGTGAACATACACAATAAGTGTGAAAAAGAAAACAAACTAGTGTAGGGACTAGTGAGACCTCCATAACTGTGGAGACGGGCCACTGACTAGTATGGCTTCCAGGAGCCTAACGGCCTAGATTAGAAGCATGTTCCCACTTGGCTTGTGGGCTTTGTCGTCTCAGCCTCACGCTCTTAACCTTCCAGGTGGAGGACTTGAAGTCGCAGCTGGTAACCCAGGGTGACTCCCACAGGCTGGTGAAACTAGAGATTCAGGAGAAAGTGAAAGAGGCTCAGGAATGTAGCCGGATTCAGAAGGAACTGGAGAAAGAGAAAGCCAGGTAAGCTAGACAGCCAGAGGGGTGGCTTGTCTTCCAGGCGTAGTCACAGTGGCATTGACTATTCTGTGCAAGGTTACCTCACCGTGTCACTCTGGGGTACACATGTAGCCATCTGAAGTGGACTTGGCCTCTGCTTCAGATCTTATACTTGTTTCATTTAGTAAGTATTTCGAGAAGACCATTTATGTACCATTGTCTTATGACAACATGGTCCCTGCCTCAATAGAATTATATTCTGTAGGGAAAATTTTAATCAATAATTTTTTAAACAAATTGTTACAGATGGTTACATACGGAGTGGAGGAAAGAGACAAGGTACTGAGACAGAGAAAACTGCTTTAGAAAGATATAGGGAAAATCTTTCCCAGGAAGTTGTGTTTAAACTGAATGCTAAGCCAGATATGGTGGCGCATGCCTTTAATCCCAGCACTCTGGAGGCAGAGGCAGGTGGATCTCTGAGGCTGGCCAGGTCTACAAAGTGAGTTCCAGGACAGCCAGGGCTACACAGAGAAACCCTATCTTAAAAAAACAATACAAAAACAACAACAAAAAGATTAAAAATAAATAAACTGAATACTAGGGCTGGCGAGATGATTCAGCTGGTAAGCATGCTTGCTCCCAAGCCTGCCGACCTGAGTTCAATCTTCAGGAGCCACATGATGGAAGGAGAGGACCCACCCACTCATGAACATTGTCCTTTGACCTCCACATGCCCCTCTACACACACAGTAAATAAATAAACAAACAGAAGGCTGAAAGATGAAACGGGGCCACCCGTGCAAGCGAAGAGAGTTCTGTTCAGTCAGAGGAGAAGCCCTGAGAGAAATGAAAGCATGCCGTGTTTGGTGACGCCAGCCGGTGGTATAGCTCGTGTTTACTGAAGTCCATAGCAAGGAGCTTGTGGGTTACATTCAGCAGGAAACTGTAAGGATTTCAAGTAAGGAAATCAACATAATCAGATTGCTGGTGTGTTAGAAGGGATAGTAATGGCCTGAAACATGGATGGCATGAGCCCATTCACAATGGGGAGCGGCATACACTCCGTTTCCTAGGGGTCTGAGAAGGGATGGATCTTTCTGATGGTGACAATTGAGTCCTAAAGACAAGTCAGGAGGCTGGTGTAGGTATCCAAACGAGAGCGACTGCACCATGGTAAGGAGCAGGGAAAGGAAGAAGAGAGGAACTTAAGACAGTCGTATAGTTAGAGATTGGATGTGGGTAGGATGAAGAGGACTGAAATGCTCATGGCTTCCATGCTGTGACACCATAGATGAAAGGTCACTCACAGAGCCAGGGGACAGAGTGAGAGAGGATGAGTGGGGAATTGGGGGCTCAGAGGGATGGCAGGTTTGGATATAGTGAATTTGAAATATGTGCATACGTATGTGTGGACTTTATCAGAGAAGAATAAATTTGGGCTGAAATGAGTCCTCATATGTATGAAGTTCCTAGGAGTCCTTACTGGTGTAGTTTTTAATGACTCTAGTCACCATTACTGTTTGTTTTAACAAGCAGTGCTAACAAAACAGTCGATAAAGCATGCCCTCGCCCCTGAGGGAATGACCCACCTCTCCACCCTCTGTTTCAGCCTGGCACTGTCGCTAGCGGACAAGGAAGGAAGACTCCTTGTTCTGCAAGAAGCTGACTCTGTCCGACAGCAGGAGCTGAATTCCCTGCGCCAGGACATACAGGAGGCCCAGGAGGGGCAGAGAGAGCTCAGTCTGCAGGTACCCACTATGCCTGAGCCTGGCTTTCTGGTGAGGATGCTCTTTGATGGCCTGGGTGGATTGTTTCTGTCCTAAGACAGGACAGAAACAGTAGGGGAAAAGCAGGGCTGGACAGGCCAAGTGGGAACCTGACCCAGAGATGAGCTATGTCCCCTGTGAGGAGCGTGACATCCTGAACAGAGTGTTCAGAGCGCCCCTGTGGGCCTGATTCATGCAGAAGCTCTTGCAAATGTGTTTTACCTGACTGGCAAAATGCAGCAGGGGAACTTGGAGGGCATCAACAAATACGTGACCTGCAAGGACTTCCATACTCAGCTTGCTCACTGAGACCTGAGACCTGAGCCTGGAGGAAAGATGGAGTTGGGAAGGAGAGAGAAGGGCTTGGGCCTGCCTGCTAGTCTTCATGCGGTCTGACTAGCTCCATGTCGAGGTTTCAGGGCAGAGTTCTAACCACAGCAGGGGCTGGCCTACCTGTCTGCCTGGGAACAGGGCCAGGGCCTGTAGTGTAGCCTGGGCCCTTGTGTCAGGTGTTGGTCACCCCCAGTTGTCAGAACTACTCATTTCAGGGCCCTGCTACCTGCTGCAGAGCTGAGCCTGCCGGACTTCTCCCCATCTGGGTCAGAAGCGGGAGGATTGAGGAGAAGGTGCCACTTGCTCAGGGAGTCTCCTTCCTCCTGGCAGGTGGAACTACTGAGGCAAGAGGTGAAGGAAAAGGAGGCTGACTTTGTAGCCCGGGAAGCGCAGCTGCTGGAGGAGCTGGAGGCCTCACGGATCACAGAGCAGCAGCTTCGAGCTTCTTTGTGGACCCAGGAAGCCAAGGCAACCCAACTGCAGCTGCAGCTGCGCAGCACTGAGAGCCAGCTGGAGGCACTGGCTGCAGAACAGCAGCCAGAGAACCAGGCCCAAGCACAGCTGGCTAGCCTCTGCTCTGTCCTGCAGCAGGCCCTGGGGTCTGTGTGTGAGAGCCGGCCTGAGCTGAGGGGCGGGGGCGACTCTGCTCCTTCCCTGTGGGGCCCTGAGCCAGGTGAGGAAGCCAGATGAGAGCTAAGTCTTGTGGGCCAAAGCCTGGGAGAAGGGAAGGGAATGTAGTTACTCTTGTAAAATAGCATCAAGGTTAAGGCCATAGATGCTGCAGCTGATCCCAAGTAGCCTGAACAGATCGTGGTTCAGGCTAGCCACCTAACTTCTCTGAACATGGTTTTTCTTGACTATAAAATGGAAGTATTAAAAGTCCTGTCTTAGAATTTTTCTGGGATTGTAGACATAAAGAGCTAGGCCAAATGTGGGGTGCATGCCTATAACCCTAACACTCAGGCACTGTAGGAATTAAGTTCCTCCAGCCTGAGCTACATAGTGAGTTGCTGGGCATGATGGTACCTGCTTGGGGTGGGGGTTGGGACAAGAGGAGTAAGAGTGCAGAGTCATCCTCAAGTACATAGTAAATTCCAGGCCAGCCTGGGCTTCATATATCCTATCTTTTAAAAAACAACAACAACCAAAAAAATGATAAAAAAAAATTTTACGACTTGCACTTGAAAGCATAGCAGCCAACAGCCAGCATTATGTAACACAGCAGTTCTCAAACTGTGGCGAACTCTTTGGCGGTTGAATGACCTTTTCACTGGAGTCAAGTATCAGATATCCTGCATATCAGATACTTACATCACAATTCATAACAGTACCTAAATTGCAGTTATGAACTAGCAACGAAATAATTGTATGGTTGGGGTTACCACAAGATGAGGAACTGTATTAAAGGGCCACAGCCTTAGGAAGGTTGAGAACCACTGCTCTAATGGAAGGTGTACGAATGAACCACTGAGAACGATTCTTCAGAGAGAGGGAGCCAGCGGGAAGGCCAAGGCCCTGTCTGGGGAGAGATGACTACTTCTTATTGTGGCAGCCAGGTGAGAAGAATTTTCCTCTTTTCTTCAGATCAGAATGGAGCTAGGAGACTCTTTAAGAAAGGGCCCCTCCTGACTGCGCTGTCAGCTGAGGCTGTAGCATTGGCTCTCCAGAAGCTTCATCAAGACCTGTGGAAGGCTCAGCAGGCCCGGGTATGTTCTCTGCCCTCCTCCTTCCTCCTCTTGAGTTCCCGAGCCGCTCAAACAGACTTGTAACGTGGAGGGAGAAGGGTCAAAGGATCCTCATCCTGAGCTCTGCCCTGTCATTCCTCCTGTGCGCTCGCTTACTGCCCTGCAAACATGACTGAAGCATTTGGAGTCCCTGAGCCTTGTGTTCACTCCAAAAGCAGGGCAGATAATGCTTCTCCTTCCCCTGCTACCCTGCCGTCACACACCACTCCACACCCCCACTGCTGTGTGCAGGAGTCTTGAAGGAGCCCTGTGAACTGTAAACCCTTCAACACAACACATGGGTTTTGTTTAATATCATTTCTCATCCAAGAATTTAGTCTTAGTGCCAAATCCTCTGGGAGAAGTCAGGTAAGCTGGGGAGCATTGAAATTTGAAGTCACTGTTTACAAGAACATCCTAGGCTTAAGACTGAGCTAACTCCACCTCACTGTGCACCTGCTCGTCAGTGTTGAGAGCTGCCTGTGAGCCAGCCACTCAGAGCTGGTGATACAAAGACATAAAGACCCAGCCTGCTGTCAGAAGCCTCCAGGGTGGAGCCAACAGGAGGGCCGCCTCAGCTAGAGTACTGTTGGGACTGGGAGGGAACGTCGTGGGGAAGAGGTGGCTCTTCTGAACTCTGAAGGAGGGAGGCTCTTGGGAGAGAAGGAGTGTGGCCTGGAATAAGACACTGAGCCGTTATTCCTAAAGAAATAATCCAGGTGCAGTGGCACATGCCTGTGGTCCCAGCACTCAGGAGGCTGAGGCAGGAGGATTGAGAATTTGAGACTAGCCTGAGTTGTATATTGAGTCCTTGTCTTCCACCCCCCAAAGAAATAAAAATAAAAGATTCATTTTATATATAAAAGATTTGGGCAGATACCAGGTGTGGGGCCTCAAATGTCTATAATCCCAGCACTTGGGAGGTAGAGGCAGGATGATGAGCAGGAGTTCAAGACTAGCCTACATTTTGTAGCCACTAAGATCAGCCTGGGCTGCATGAGACTGTATGAAATAACAACAAAAACATAGGCCAGAGGGTGCCCCTCAGGTTCCCCCTCCCTGCAGGGAACTAAATACATAAGAGTTTAGAGCAGTGGTTCTCAACTGTGGGTCACAACCCTTTGGTTGTCAAACGACCTTTTCACAGGAGTTGCATGTCAGATATTTACAATTCATAACAGTAGCAAAATTACAGTTATGAAGTAGCAACAAAAATAATTTTATGCTTGGGGGTGACCACAGCATGAGGAACTATATTCAAGGGTCACAGCGTTAGGAAGATTGAGAACTGGTTTAGAGAGTAGGGTCATGATGGCAGGGCCTGCGGAGTGTGGGCAGAGTTTGGGCTTCAGAGGGAACGAGCTGGACCCCTTTCCTTTCCCAGGATGACCTAAGGGACCAGATCCAGAGGCTGACACAGCAGCTCACTGATACCGAGGCCCAGAAGAGCCAGGTCCACTCGGAGATGCAGGACTTGGAGAGACAGCTCTCCCAGAGCCAGGAAGGTGAGATGCTAGGGCAGCAGGCTGAGAGGAGGCAAGAGCAGGTGGGGACAGGAACGGGGAGACCAGCTAAGACACCTGTGAGGGCGGATGAGCCTCTTCAACTCTTGTTCACTTTGCTTGGCTTTTGTGGGCTATCCTGGAAGAAGGAGTTAGGAGGAACCAGTTTGGAAACTGATAGAAGTTGTTGCCTGGGCTGCTGTTAGTCTCTGCAGGGAGTTGTTTTTGTTTTTGCTTTTCAGTTGTTAAAATTGCATTTACTTTGTGTGTGTGTGTGTGTGTGTGTGTGTGTGTGTGTGTGTGTGTACATAGAGGTCAGAGGGCAATTTGTGGAAATCAGTTCTCATCTTCTATCAATAGATTCCCAAGGGATCCAGCTCAGGCAGTCAGGTGTAGTAGTGAGAGCCATTTCAACAGCCCATGCAGAAGATTTTTTTTTTTTCAAGCATGAAATCCTGGTGACCCTGGGCCAAAACTATCAGAACATAAAATTGTGTTTCTTTCATCAATTATCCGTGTTACTTATTTTTATCATTTCCCACTATACCCTCAAAATTAGCCTTTGAGGACAAAAGGATTACCAACTTCCTGTGAGAAGGCCAGGAAGGGGAATCGGGAAGAACACACTGTCATGTCCCTCTGCCAAGGGCTTGGAGGGGTGGACACCACTTGGAAAGGAAAGGAGCCTCAAGACTGTTCCCTTTTGAAGTTCTATTGCAGAAGGAAGGAGATGAGCCTTTTTAGGCACTTGAGGGTTCCCTGAGATCCATACGAACAGCTGGCTCTGGGGTATCTTCAGACTTGAGGGCCTCCAGGAACCTCCCACAAACTCATATAATTTGGGGCTAGAAGGGGCCCTGCTGTCATGTCTGGAGAACTCATCTGAGGACCCTTGGGAGATCAGGATGAGGACGTGTAGGATGGTTAGCAGGCTGGGCTGTGCCAGGGCTCACAGCAGACAGGTGTGAGGCTGGAAGCAGCTGCTGGCAGACAGGCGATGGCCCAGGACACCAGGTGTCATTTTTTCCTCTTTGATTCTGATCCCCGTCCTCCATCTGCCTCTATACCCTGTGTTCTCCCACCTGCGACCATGCACCTGACTCCGACATCTCTGCTCGTTTCAAAGAGAAATCCAAGTGGGAAGGGAAACAGAACTCCCTGGAGTCTGAGCTGAGGGACTTGCACGAGACTGTGGCATCCTTACAGAGTCGCCTACAGCAGGCAGAGCTGCAGAAAGTGGAAGCGCAGGTAAAGTGCCGGTCTGGGGAAGAGTGCCTCAGGAGTTGTGTTTAGAGTTCAAGGTTCTGCCTCTCAGACCCACTGTGGCCTGTGCTCATATGCCTGGCTTCCTTCAACAAGTCTCAGAGTCCCATGACTCTTCCCGCCTTCCCATTAGTAAGGTCATGGTGAACCTTCACCTAATTACTTTTCTGAATTAAGATTAGACTGTTATTCCTTGATCTGCAAGATCAGGGTCTAGAATGCCTCTTTGCACCAGGCTGTCTTCCCTGGACACAGAGGAGCTCTAGAAGGTTGTAGGGACACTCTTGTATAGAATCAGCTTAAGTGGAATATATCACTCTTCAGTCCTTGTTAAGGCCTGGTCACTGATGGTGCCACAAAATAAGAGGCCAGTGTTAGAGTGACAGTATCAAGAAAATAATCTTGGCCGGGCGGTGGTGGCACACGCCTTTAATCCCAGCACAGATGCAGGCACAGAGGCAGGCAGATCTCTGAGTTCAAGGCCAGCCTGGTCTACAGAGTAAGTTGCAGGACAGCCAGTGCTATACTAAGAAACCCTATCTCAAAAGACCAAAATAAAAAGGAAATAATCGCCGGGCGGTGGTGGCGCACGCCTTTAATCCCAGCACTCGGGAGGCAGAGCCAGGCGGATCTCTGTGAGGCCAGCCTGGTCTCCAAAGCGAGTTCCAGGAAAGGCGCAAAGCTACACAGAGAAACCCTGTCTCGAAAAAAACCAAAAAAAAAAAAAAAAAAAAAAAAAGGAAATAATCTTGCCTTAAAGCATTTTGTCTCTTGCTTTCAGAATGAGTGTGAGTTGCTGCAGGCATCCAAGGAGAAGCTGACAGCCCAGGTTGAACATCTGCAAACACGTGTTGCAGAAGCCCAGGCTCAGGCAAGTGCAGCCGGTGTCCTGGAAGAAGATCTGCGAACGGCTCGCTCAGCACTGAAACTGAAAAACGAGGAGGTGGAGAGTGAGCGGGAGAGAGCCCAGGCTTTGAGAGAGCAGGGCGAGCTAAAGGTGGCCCAGGGGAAAGCTTTGCAGGAGAATCTAGCCCTGCTGGCCCAGACCCTGTCTAACAGAGAACGGGAGGTGGAGACATTGCAGGCTGAGATCCGGGAACTGGAAAAGCAGCGGGAAATGCAGAAGGCGGCTCTGGAGCTGCTCTCCCTGGACCTGAAGCAGCGGAGCCAAGAGGTAGACCTGCAACAAGAACAGATTCAGGAGCTGGAGAAGTGCAGGTCGGTCTTAGAGCACCTGCCCATGGCCGTCCAGGAGCGGGAGCAGAAACTGAGTGTGCAGCGGGACCAGATCAGAGAACTGGAGAAAGATCGGGAGACCCAGAGAAGTGTCCTGGAACATCAGCTCCTGGAGCTGGAGAAGAAGGCTCAAGTGATTGAATCCCAGAGGGGACAGATTCAGGATCTGAAGAAGCAGCTGGTAACACTAGAGTGCCTGGCCCTGGAACTGGAGGAAAGCCATCACAAAGTGGAGGGCCAGCAGCAGGTGATTGCGGAGCTGGAGGGCCAGAGGGAGATGCAGAGGGTAGCTCTAACCCATCTCACACTGGACCTGGAAGAAAGGAGCCAGGAGCTGCAGGCACAAAGCAACAAGCTCCAGGAGCTGGAGAGCCACAGCAGCCATGTGGCGAGAGAGCTGCAGGAGAGGGACCAGGAGGTGAAGGCTCAGCGCCAGCAGGTGAAGGAACTGCAGAAGCAGAAAGAGCAGCTGACTCAGGACCTGGAGAGGAAGGACCAGGAGCTGATGCTGCAGAAGGAGAGGATTCAGGTTCTGGAAGATCAGAGGACGCTGCAGACCAAGATCTTAGAGGAGGACCTGGAACAGATCAAGCATTCCTTGAGGGAACGCGGCCAGGAGCTGGCCTCTCAGCGGCAGCTGATGCACGAGCGGACAGACGATGGGAAGAGCCCTAGTAAAGCCCAGCGTGGGAGCCTGGAGCACTTGAAGCTGATCCTGCGGGATAAGGAGAAGGAGGTAGAATGCCAGCAGGAGCGCATCCAGGAACTTCAGGAGCACACGGGCCAGCTGGAACAGCAGCTCCAAGGCCTGCACAGGAAGATGGGTGAGACTAGCCTGCTCCTGACCCATCGAGAGCAGGAGCTAGCAACCCTGCAGCGGCATCTCCAGGAAGCCGGGGAACAAGGAGAGCTGAAAGAGCAGGCACTTCAGGGTCAGCTGGAGGAGGCCCAGAGAGCTCTGGCCCAGAGGGACCGAGAACTGGAGGCCCTTCAGCAAGAACAGCAGCAGACCCGGGGCCAGGAGGAAAGCATGAAGCAAAAGACAAGTGTTCTGCAGGCCGCTCTGGAGCAGGCCCAGGAGACGCTGCAGGAGCGTCAGAGGGAGCTGGAGGAGCACAAGGAACAGGTGCAGAGGCTCCAGGAAGAGCTGGCAGTGGAGGGGCGGCAGGTACGGGCCCTGGAGGAGGTGCTGGGAGACCTGAGGGCTGAGTCTCGGGAGCACGAGAAGGCTGTGCTGGCCCTTCACCAGCGGTGTGCTGAACAGGCCCAGGAGCATGAGGCCGAAGCCAGGGCCCTGCAGGACAGCTGGCTGCAGGCCCAGGCCACACTTACAGAACAAGAACAAGAGCTGGCAGCTCTTCGAGCAGAGAATCAGTATTCCCGCCATCAGGAGGACGCAGCATGGGGCCAGGCAGAGGCTCTGCAGCAGGCCCTCAGCAAAGCCCAGGCTGCCCTGCAGGACAAAGAGCAGAGTCTCCTTGAGCAAGCTGAATTGAGCTGCACTCTGGAGGCCAGCACTACCAACTTGCAGGCTACCCTGGACACCTGCCAGGCACGTGCCCAACAGCTGGAGGAGGCCCTGAGGATGCGAGAAGGTGAGATCCAGGCCCAGGCTCTCCACCACCAGGAGGTTGTGCAGCAGCTCCAGCAGGCCCTTTCCCAGAAGGAGGAGGAGCTGAGGCGGCAGGAAGAGCAGGGGCAGCTGCGGGAAACGGCGCTGGCCCAGAGGAGTCAAGAAAGTGGACTCCGAGAGAAGCAAAGTCTGCAGCAAGAGAGAGAAGAGGAGACCGGGGGCCTTGTGGAGAGCCTAAGGGAGCTACAGCTGGCTCTAGCCCGAAAGGAAGAAGAGATTTTGATGCTGAGGGAGGCCCAGCAAAGGCAGAGTCTGGAGGCCTCTTCCCCAAGCCACAGAGCCTTCCCAGTGGAGAAGGCAACTCCACAGCTGCCCCCCGTGCAGCAGGAGTTGGAGCGACTGCAGAATGCCCTGAGGCAGACGGAGGCCAGGGAGATCGAATGGAGGGAGAAGGCTCAGGACTTGGCGCTGTCCCTGGCCCAGAGCAAGGCCAGCATCAGCAGTCTGCAGGAGATAGCCATGATCCTGCAAGCCTCTGTCCTAGAGAGGGAGTCGGAACAGCAAAGGCTACAGGTGAGTCACTGCGTGGAGAGGCAGGGCATGGGACAGAGTTCATTAGCTGAGCTAAGGCCTGCCTGCCTGTGGTACCTCAGAGAGAGAGCGCGGAGGTGGTGAGCCCCTCCATACCTCAGAGCTAGCAGACCAAATGAGCAGCTATAGTCACTGGAGTCCACGTCTGATAAAGGAAGTTCCGTGTGCTCCGAGCACGCTGCTGGGACACCCAAGCCCCCCAAGGGCGGGTGCCAGATGGCGTCTTGGTAAAACCGGCGTTTAAGGTGAAGTTGGAAGGGACTGGTAGGGAACTAGCCAGGCACAGTGCAGGTGCGGCTTTCGTGGGGAAAGGCAGAAGAGGCAGGATGAAGGAACGTAAGGAGGACCTGTGAGAGGTTCCAGTCACCCGAAACACAGAGGGTGTCGACGAGAGACGAAGCGAGGGCAGCGGGAGCTGTGGCACCCAGGCCTCCTGAGGACTGGGTCCCTAGGGACGTGGGTAGAGGAGTTAGGAACAGTTCGGAGTAGCTGCTCAGGACGCATGCGCAGCAGCCTCGGGAAGACAGGAGCCGGACAGAAGTCCCGGGAGAGGCGGAGAGGAGGGTAGCTAGTGTGAACAGAGTAGGGAAAGGACAAAGGTAGCACAGCACCAAGGGTTCTGCCCACGAAGGTGGAGAGAAGCACGGTTGAGGAAGTCGAGCGAGGCACCTGGGGGACACACAAGGGGACGTTCCGGCAAGCAGCTCAGTGAAGAACGAAACAGTGCCATGGGCAGCGTGGAGCTCAGGGCTGTGGTAGGAAGGACGTGTGTTGATTAAAGACAGTGGTTCTCAGCCTGTGGGTCGAGACCCCCTGAGGTCAGCCAGCCCTTTTGCAGGGGCTGCCTAAGACCGTCAGGAATATCAGACATTACAGTTCATAACAGTAACAAAATTACAGTTTTGAAGTAGCAACAAAAATAAATTTAAGGTTGGGGGTCACCACAACGTGAAGAACTGTATTAAAAGATTGAGGACCGCCGGGCGGTGGTGGCGCACGCCTTTAATCCCAGCACTCGGGAGGCAGAGCCAGGCGGATCTCTGTGAGTTCGAGGCCAGCCTGGTCTCCAAAGCGAGTTCCAGGAAAGGAGCAAAGCTACACAGAGAAACCCTGTCTCGAAAAACCAAAAAAAAAAAAAAAAGATTGAGGACCACTGGTACTAGGACTTCAGGGTGTAACATTTAACTGGAGGTCAAGCTCCGTGCCTCAGTTGTCTCCATGCCCCAGCACTGAGCCCGAGACCCCTGTCTGTAGTGGTATTTGCTCCACCCATGACCTTGGGCTATGGGGCCCGAAAGAGGCGGTGCTTCTTGCCATTGTCAGAGCCCCTTCTCCCTGTTTCCTGCTTCCTGGTGTGATTGAACCGCCAGGTGGATTGGCTCCCGGTCAGATCAGAGGACGATTTTAGCTGTCTACTCCGTTCTGTATTCGTGAGTGTATTTCCTCGAGTTATATCCTAATGAATCCCTACCACCTACCCATTAAATAGACGCACATGGATTGATCTTTACACTCGTCCGCAAGGCTAGCAGGAGAGTGAACCGTGGGGAGAGCTGCTTCCCTGCTCCACATAGACAGCTCTACCTCCATGACAAACTTAATCCGCCTTTCTAAGGAAACTGACTCTGTCACTCAGACACACGACTCCTGGGGCCTCCTGGCCTTCTGGGAAGTCACAAGGCTCTGCCCTGGTGAAAGGGTAGTGTGTGAAGAAGGAATTACGCTGACCAGTGGGGTTGGGCTTCTGGATTTGAGATAGGTTCTGTAATTTACTGGCTGTTTGACCGGCAGAGATTTCACTTTTCAAGCCTGTGTTTTTTTCCCTTTTCTTTCTTTTTTGTTTGGTTTCGGTTGGTTGGTTGGTTGGTTGGTTGGTTGTTTGGTTGGTTTCTGAGACAAAGTTTCTCTGTGTAACAGCCCTGACTATCCTGGAACTCGCTCTGTAGCCCAGGCTGGCCTCAAACTCACAGAGATCCACTGCCTCTGCCTCCTGAGTGCTGGGGTTAAAGGCGTGCCACCACTGCCCGGCATCAAGCCTGCATTTTTAAAGGATATGCAGGGAACGGTGGTTTCAGTGAGACTGTGTGTAGCAGGTAATTTTGAACATTTTTTTATTTGAGGGGTATGTGTGTGCTATGGCACATGTGTAGAGGTCAGAGGCTAGCTTGCAAGAGTTGGTTCTCTCCTGTCACAGAGTGGGTTCCCGGGATTGAGTCCCAATCATCAGGCTTAGAAGAAGACAGGCATCTTCACCCACTAAGTTATCTTACTGCCTTGGAACTCACCCTACTTCCGGGCCTGTCCTGCGGCATAGCAAAAGGGAGGCATGAATCTGGGCACGAGGACACTTCCTAGCCGTGCTCTGAGGTTACGGAGTGTTCTGTCAATAACGTAACAAGACAGAGGCACTCTGCCTTCTCCCCACCCAGACGTTGCAGAAGCGTCCTGTAGAGGCAGCTCTCTGTGGTGGTCCTGCTTCTGTCGTCATTGTTGTCGTTGTTGTTGGGTTGTTTTGTTTTTCGAGACAGGGTGTCTCTATGTAGCCCTGGCTGTCCTGGAACTCACTCTGTAAACCAGGCTGGCCTTGAACTCACAGAGATCCACCTGCCTCTGCCTCCTGAGAGCTGGGACTAAAGGCATGGGCCACTGTCACCTGGCTGTTATTGTTAATGTGTATGTGCATGTCTGTATGAGTGCATGCCGTGTGTGTGTGTGTGTGTGTGTGTGTGTGTGTGTGTGTGTGTGTGTGTAGGTGCCTGTGAAGGCCAGAAGAGGGTGTTGGATTCCCTGGAGTTGGAGCTAGAGGCAGTTGTGAGCCATGCCATGTGGGAGCCATGCCATGTGGGTGCTGGGAACCAAATTCGGGTCCTCCAGAAAAACTGCAAGTTCTCTTTACCACTTACATTTTACATATTTTAAACATTTTTACATGCCAGGTTCCATTGTTCTCATTTTTTTCACTACCCTCAAAGAAGGAACTGATACTGTGTCCATTTTAAAGTTGAAAAAGGGCAGTCAGATTTCAGCTTATCCAAAGTCAGACAGACACCTGGTTGGAGTGGTTAGCTCTGACCATCTAAGTAGGGCTCAGGGTTAGACCATTTGGCTCTCCCTTTCCCTGTGCCCTGACACACACACACACACACACACACACACACACACACCCCACACCCCACACCCCTTACACCAAACACCCCTTACACCAAACACCAACACCACACATATACTCACACACACTCCCAGATCCATCTCCCTTCTTGAACATGGTTTGTTTATGAAGAGGGTAGAGGATGGGACAACTTTGGACATGAGTTTAGCATAGTATGATTTTTGTCCCTCGCTCTGTACCCTAGGAGGAGCTGGTGCTCAGCAGACAGGCTCTGGAGGAGCAGCAGTCACATGGCCCACACTCAACCAACAGAGCAGACCAAGGGCCCAAAGCTGGACAAGACAGACAGCCTGGAGAGGTAAGCGGGCCCGGGGGCGTAGGAGGAGCCTTGTCAACACTTGTTCCCCTCCTTTGGGAATGGGTCTCTGAACCCAAACTGACAGATTGGTCCCTTTGCCCTCCAGCTCTCCTCCCTGTCTGTTGGGCTGCCCAGATGAGCATCACGGGTCTCCCCTGCAGGTATCTGTGGCTGAGCCTAGTCCTGGGGAGGAGGAGAAGGAGCAGTGGACACAAAGGCTTGAACGTCTGCAGGAAGCAGTGGCGCAGCTGGAATTTGACCGCAGCAAACTGCAGCACCACAACGCACAGCTGCGGACTGTCTTAGAGCAGGTCAGGAACGTGTGTTTCCTCCTCCGGGGCCCAGAGCTGCCTGTGCCTGTTTCTGAAACAGTTTTAGTAAATCAGTAGCCATGCATGGTCTGTGAGTGCCTGCTCGTCATGCTAGGGAGCAGAGTAGTTGTGACAGGGCGGGAATAGTTCACAATAACCCACAGAGCTAGCCTCTGCTCCCACGGCTGAGAGTTGGCCTGCCTCCTCTGTACCAGGAGCACTTCTTTGTACCCTACCATATGCCCTCCCCAGCCCAGCAGTCTTATTTCCCATGGCTTCTAGCTCTCTACACTCATGTGCTGGCTCCAGATCAACACGTGGTTTCTCACTTGCATATTGGCAGGTGGAGCGGGAACGGAGGAGGCTGAAGAGGGAGTCCATGCGCGCTTCCCGAGCAGAGTCACTGGAGACGAGAGAAACTCTGGCTTCATCCCCTGTACAGCAGGTTTGCCTGTCTCTCACCTGCCTTTCTTCTTGCCTCTGTAGAAACTCAGCCCTCTGTAGGACATATCCCAGGCCACTCTTAGATGTAGAGACAGCCACTCCATTTCTCTAGAGAGCCTCTCCTGGCTTGATTCCACCCTTGGTTTGTCCTTGCCTTAGGAGCAGGTCCGACATCAGCGGGTAAGTGCAGTCAGGGATAGGGGTTCAGATCCACTCACTCCCAGACCAGTGCCTCAGGTCCCCCTGGGTCACCCCCAGAGTCCCTGGCGTCCAGGGGCTCTATCATGCTTACCAGCTCTTGACACGCCCAGAAGTTTGACCACAGCTTTGCATTTAAGAGCCCCTTAGTTCTGAGTTTACCAAGTTAGAGTTCTGATATGTCCTGGCACAGAGTCCTGTTCTCAGGGAAGGGATTTGCCCTTCTGTGCCTGTCCCGTGGTAGGAGGAACTGCTTCCGGTCCTGAACATCTCCAGCTTCACCCCACTTCCTTGAACGTTTCCCAAGGGCAAATGTTTAGCCCAAGACTCCCACAAAACAGATCCTTGGAGAACCCTTATGTTAAATAAAACGTTCCTCACAGAAGGTGCTGCCCATGGTGCTGCTGTGGGCCTCTTGACCTCCTCTTGGCCTTGAGCCAAGCCCCGTCACATTTCAGTTTGAGTTCAAGTACTCCTAGCCCTTAAGATGTTGCCCAGACCCCTGGAGTGGGGTGAGGAGTTGCCTGCTCAACAGATAGACCCCCCTGAAGCCTCGCTGGCCTTGGAGCAGAGGCAGAGGTAGGGTGCTGTGGAAACTCCAGAGCAAGACAGCTCATTCTAACAGGGTTCATACTTGTTTTCCTTAGGATGGAAGAGGAGGTCAGAAAGGTTCCTCGGATAGCATGCATGTGCTTGAGCTTCAGAGAGAGGTATGTTCTGGAAGAATCCATTTCCCATTCCTCCTTTCCCTCACTGTACTCGGGCAACAAGGTTTAGTGTCTGTGCACTTCCAGCAGGAGAGGGAAAGTAGCTTTGGCACTCAGAGAACTTTGATCTCCATAGGAGACAAATGGTGCTCCAGTCCCAACTCCACCTGCAGTGTGGTACCAAGTCCAGGCCACCCTCCAGATCCATACTTAGAAAGGGAGAGGAGACGCATAGCGGTCTGGGGAAGAATAAGGCGAGAAGCACTGACTGGCCTGGCCCTCAGCTGTAGGCAGGCAGGACTGTGGACTCAGACACGGCCAGGCAAGCACCACACTCAGGAAACTACTCTAATGCCTCCTGTGTCTCACCTAAAGGTCCCACACTCCTCTCTTTCTCCCCCCACCCCACCCGAGAGAACTGAAAAGTATAGATTTGATTTCTGAGCCTCTCTCAGAATCAGTAGTTACTGTCAGCAGGCTGGCTCCAGCTGGACTGGGCTCTGCTTTGTAGTCTGTTAAAATCTACGAAGCCCCCTGACTCAGTCGAGAGAGGCCTTGGGACCTGCTCTTTCCTGGTGTGCCCCTTAGAGCTGCCCTCAAGGCCTCTTCTCACCCTAGTTCCGAACAGTCCTTCATCTTGTCTGCCCATCTCACCTTCCCATCTGAGCAATGGGAAGTTTGGTTGGTGATTCCCAGCCTTGGCTGCACCTTGGAACGACCTGGGGAGGAGTTCTGAAAAACCACTGACCCCTGGGCCTCGCCATTCCAGTTAAGTTGGAATGTCTCCTCCCGAAAGGTCTGATGGGACGTTTGCCTGGTCAAAATGTTCTAGGTCTTGACTGGATTATGCCTAGGCATATCCATTATCAAAATTAAAACTGGGCATTTGATCAAATGTAAATTTTCCTGCAGTAAAGTTAATGAGGGGCTAGAGAGATGCTGAGCGGCTAAGAGTACTTGTGTTCCTGCAGAGGACCCAGGTTCGGGTCCCAGCACCGACATAGTGGCTCACAACCATCTACAAGTCCAGTTTCAGGGGATCTGACGCCCTTTTCTGACCTCTGTAGGCACCAGACACACACGGTGCACATACATACATGCAGGCCAAACAGTCATACACATTTTTAAGTAACGCTTTTAAAAATTAAAAGAATGAAGTTGTTGAGTTTTACTGATGCTCGTAGCTCCCGTGAGTCACTGTTGTCCTAATCTCATTGATAAAATACCTGAGAAGGGCAATGTACAGGAAAAGGGGTTACTGTAGCTCACAATTCCAGGTAACAAACTGTAGCTAGAGTTTTCCTGCCTGGCCCACAGTCAGGACAAATCTCTCTCACCTGCCAGTCCCACAGCCGCTCAGACCCGACCAAGTAAACACAGAGACTTATATTGGTTACAAACTGTATGACCGTGGCAGGCTTCTTGCTAACTGTTCTTACAGCTTAAATTAATCCATTTCCATTAATCTATACCTTGCCACGTGGCTCGTGGCTTACCGGCATCTTCACATGCTGTTTGTCATCGTGGCGGCTGGCAGTGTCTCTCTGCCTCAGCCTTCCACTTCCCAGCTTTATTCTCCTCCTTGTCCCGCCTACACTTCCTGCCTAGCCAATGGCCAATCAGTGTTTTATCTATTGACCAATCAGCAACATATTTGCCATACAGAACATCCCACAGCAACAAACAGTCTGTCAGAGCAGAGAAGTCAAGGCTGCTGGGACTTAAAGCAGCTAGTCACGTCACAGTCCGCAGCTGAGAGTGAATGCATGCCTGCTTAGCTCACTCCACCCAGGACCCCAAGCCAAGGAATGGTACCATCAACATGAGCTGGGTCTTCCCACATTCTTTATGTAGACAAGACAATCCCTCACAGACATGCCCAAAGGCCAACCTGGTGTACATAGTCCCCCACTGAGATTCTTCTCAGGTGCTGGATTGTGTTGACAATTAAGCAACCATCCTGACTGTGGAGCCAGGAGAACCCAGAGCAGAAGGGCCAGAGCAGCTTCCGAGCCTTCAGCCGCTATCCTCCTTGGTTTTCCTGTCCACCAGGTAGCCCTGCTGAGAGCCCAGCTGGCGTTGGAGCGAAAGCAGAGACAGGACTACATCACGCAATCCGTGCAGACCAGCCGTGAGCTAGCAGGCCTGCGGCACAGCCTCTCCCACTCCCTCCTCACAGTGGCCCAGGCCCCCGAGGCCACTGTTCTAGAGGCTGAGACCCGAAAGCTGGATGAGTCCCTGAGTCAGAGTCTGACATCCCCGGGGCCAGTCCTGCTACATCCCAGTCTGGACACTGCTCAGACTACCCCCAGGTAGCAGCTGCAGCCAGGGCAGAACACAGCCAGCCAGGTGGCGCACATCGGATGACTACAGAGGGGGTCACAGTTCCCCCAACGCTACAAGTTTGCCAAAGGCAAGATTTAGCTCTGTTATCCAACTAGGAGGACCAGGTCAGCTGACAGTCCCAGGAAAAGAATGGGAACCCTCCAGGCCGGAGAGGGTCGCAGCAGCTCACATGGGAATGAGGCAAATCGCATTTGCTTGCTGACCTCCTGTTACCCAGGAAGTGCCTTGTCCTGCCTGCGGGGCATCTGTTGTCTTTCCGCCTGTTGAAGCAACCACAGTCCACACTAAGGCTGAAGGCCCGGCTGGCCCCAGCGGCACCTGGTATTCTGTCTTGGGCAGGAGCATCAAGTGCAGGGAGTGTCCGCTGCCTTCTTGGCTTCACCGTCTCCCCCACCTTCCCCTTTACAGTAAACCCCAGGTCTTTGTATTAGCCCTCGGCTGCTGTCTCCACTTCTGTAGATGGGCCAAAGGAGGACATCGAGGGGATTGGGAAGATTCACTGATTCCCGTGTGGCAGCATGAACGTACCGCATGGCATGCTGTCTAACGGGAAGGTCACGTGAGAAAATCCTGGTCCAGCCTGAAGTGTGACTGATAAGAACCATGTAACAAGTCTGGTGAGGTGCTTGGCACTTGCCACCTGACAACCTGAGTTCTGTGCCCCGTCCCACGGGATGGGGGATAAGTTGTCCTCTGACCTCCACACATGCATGACAGCACATCCATGCCCATACATATGCACATACATGTAAACAGAAAAAGAACCAAGTAATACATTAACGATTTAGAGGCAGCTCTGTGTATGAACAGAAGTACTGTAGAGGTTCCAAGGGAGCAAGGGAGTCACCCTCGGACCCTTGAGGCATGGAGGAGTTAGTTGAGAATCCTGCCGAACAGTCTCGTGGGGAACTGGTCTGTCTGTGGCAAAGGGTGGGACCAAGGTTAGAGGCTGGATTACAGCAGGCCTCGAGCTCTGACCCAGACAGTAAGCAGCCGCCAAGTTTCTTTACCTAAATCAAGCTCTTTGACTTTTGGCTACGTCACAGTCGTGATTGGAGAAGTCCGTGTGGCTTTTCTCCCCATCACACACGGTTGTCTGCCTGAACACCCTCACGTGTCCTTCCTGGGCACATCAGCTGGAAGTGACTCTGGCCTCTAAGTCCAACCCTGTGTCAGGCCAGTCAGCATAGCCTGGCCAAACCTGTCCCTTACAGAAAGGGCGGGGGATATGGACTAGAGCGCACAGGCCCAAGACCATTGTTGGTGACTCCTTCAAAGCCTGAGAATGGCAGTGCCCCCTCCTCTTTTCTTTGAGCGTTGGGAATAGAACGCAAGACGTGAGGTTACTGGGTGGTGTGTGTTCTCCCAGCAAGCCATGTCACCAGCCCTCAAGGCAGTTTTCTTGTTCTCCATGCTCTGTGCACGTGAGCCGAGCATGCTGTGCCCATGAGCCGAGCATGCTGTGCCCGTGAGCCGAGCATGCTGTGCCCGTGAGCCGAGCATGCTGTGCCCGTGAGCCGAGCATGCTGTGCCCGTGAGCCGAGCATGCTGTGCCCGTGAGCCGAGCATGCTGTGCACGTGAGCCGAGCATGCTGTGCAGTGAGCCGAGCATGCTGTGCAGTGAGCCGAGCATGCTGTGCAGTGCCCTCACACTTTCTATTTTTGACAGTTAAGTACTTCATATGTGGTGCCTGTCCACACACACACACACACACACACACACACACACACACACACACACATTTTTGTATGTATTGTATCCCAGTTTCATCTTTTAGTATGTGCATATTTTTCTAGTTCCCAGTACTGAAGAGTCCCCTCTGAAAACAATGAAACTAACTTGAGTTTGATCATGCTACTCAGTGTAGGAAATACGGTGAACCAATGCATTTTATTGGGGTTACTTATGGGAATATGGGCAAGGGCTAGTTACAGGAGTAGAAATGACCCAAAGACAGCAGCATCACCAAAAGCCCACCCCATGGGTGACACTCACAAATGCTGGACACTTGTCACTCACTGCATAATTGCAGGCAGCTCCACAGGTTGGAGAGTCTTCCAGGCAGTTCCATTGATCTCTGCCTCCTTCCAGACAGCTGGGCTTGTCTGGGAGTGACTCTCACTGATACATACTTAGAGAGTGAAGGGTCTAGTGAATCTGCTCCGTTTGTGGGACTTTCTGAAGCTTTTGACTTGTTTACTTGGGGAGCTTCCTGTAGGATGGAATTTTCGCCTCCCCTTAGAGGAGCTCCTGTGTCTTAAGGGGCTTTCCTCCAAAATGGAAGGGTTTTGTCTTGTAGGAAAATGCTACACAACACTGGACGAGGCAGTGCATACTTGTAATGCCAGTCCTCAGGAGGCTGAGACCAGAACATCATGAGTTCAAGGTCAGCCTGGGCTACATTGTAAAATTCTGCCCAAGAACAGACAGATCTCTGAGTTAGAGGCCAGCCTGGTCTACAGAGCAAGTTCCAGGATAGCCAGGGCTATACATAGTGAAAGATAGATGGATGAATAGAGAGATGATAGGTAGGTAGGTAGATAGATAGATAGACAGAGAGACAGACAGATAGGTGATGACAGACAGACAGGCATTGCCCCTAGGATCTGGCCTTTCCTCCCCAGATACTGTGCTTACAGAGAAGAGAGCCAGACCAAGATTTTATTCAGTACCAGACTGATCTCATACCATTTTCTTTAGATCTTCACCTATGAATGTCTTCACAGTTATGTGGCTGTTGTCCTAAAACTCTCCAGCATTCATGCCTCAGCAGTTGTCACTTGTGAATGGTAGCTTTGTCTGTCCATCTTATCTGACAAGCAACTTCTGTTTCTGCTTCTCTAGTCCATGCAGACAGGTCTGTCTGGGGGCCTTTGGTCTGCTTATCGTAATAGGACTGCTTTGCTGTTTTGATCCAAATCCAGAGAGGGTGGCCTGGCGTATGAGAGTGACGTGCATGTCAGCAGGCTGCATCCTGTCCTTTAGCCCTGGTTCCCTCTATCATTTGGTGACAGACTGTTTCTGGAGCTCGGAGAGAACAGAGCTTCCCCTCTCTAGGGAAGACAGACTGAACACAGCGTGATAAACACTCTCCCAAACTTACCCTGGGCCTCAAAAAGCATCAACTAGCTGGTCCCTGATCTGCATGGGAAGGGGATTCCAGACAGGGAAGGGAGGGCCTGTGAAAAGACAGAGGGCAGCTACAGTTCTGGGGAACTGCACATGGACTGGAGAAGTAGCTCAGTGGTTAAGGGCATTTGTTGCTCTTGCAGAGGACCTGTGTTTGGTTCTCAGCACCCCCACGGTGGCTCAGAGCCATCCATAACTCCATTTCCAAGGAATCCAACTCCTTCTTCTGACCTCTGAGGGCACCAGGCATGAACATGGTGTGCATACATACATGCAGCCAACATACTCTTACACATAAAATAATTTTTTAAAAAATTAAAGTGCAGAATGGGAGAGAGGAAGGCAGGGTGGAGTGAGTGTATACACAGAACTTTGGCCTCCATGCTGATGATACCAGGTAATGCACTGAGTTCCTGCTGCCCATGCAGACCAGACCGTGAATTCCAGTATTGGCAGTTGTCCAGCTAGTTGCCCGTGTTAGGTTGTACCTGAGCTAGCCTGAGTCCTCCCCACAGCAGATCAGAGCCACATCCTCCTTACCTCATCTTAACTATCTCGTGCCTCTAGGGAAATCAGACTGTTCCAAAATCTATAGTTGAGAAAGAATTGGAGATGGTGAAATTCTAGAAAGCTCCAGAGACCTAAGAAAATCCCTCAGATGCAATCCCCAGCAAGGCAGCAGAGACTCCCCAGGATTCCTCCCATCTTCTCAAGGAGACCTCCCTGTACCTCCACACTGAGAAGGTCTTGCACATCTCCATTACCTTGTCATTCGGGGCACCAGATCAGCAAGCTCCAGGAACCACTGCTGCCTCCAGGAACCCTGGTGACTGGCATTCCTGGGACAGATGAAGGGTCCTGTGGTTTGGCTCCTCCTATCTGCCTCAGCCCTGTGGATGGTGTCCTGACTCATCCTGGGAACAATGGCAGAGACTAACAGAACCTGGGGCAAGCCTGACCTGGGCCTACCACCTTCTCCTTAGTGCCTACCCGAAAGCCACGTACAATTGGTTGGTGTTGCTGAGGCCAGAGTTCCCCAGCATGACACAGGGCACACAGGGGAAATCAAAATGGTACAGGAGGGGCCTGGAAATCACTTCTAGTGGCTTCTTCCACACTTTTCCAAGCTCGCTTATTGAGTTCATGCCCTGGTAACAGCAGAAAGAGAAGTTGGGGTTCTGGCACCAGCCCTCAGTTCTGGGGGGCCGAGAGGGGAGAAGCACACCACACAGCAGCCAGGAGAAGAGGTTTGGGCCAGAGGATGGGGGAGGAACTGGGTCCAGGGGGACAGTGAAGGGCTCAGGGCCCAGCTGACCACTGACCAGCCACCAGAGCGCTTTTGTCCTCCTCAAGTACCGCATGCTCTTCTCATAACATGCTTCAAACCAGTTCCATCCTGCCACTGTGTAGTGGCAGGTGGAGCAGTTGGGGGTCCGTGAAGGGCAGCCATGCTCCCCAAATTTGAAGCACAGCCAGTTAGAGTGCTGTGGTACCATGTATGTCCATTCCTGCTGGGGTGCTGATTCATGTGTCCAATCCAGGTAGGGAGCCATCAGCCACAAGACGAGCCCCCAAAAGACCCAGCAGTTCTCCATGTCTGGCCCAGACAATGGCTCATGGAGCAGGCAGCAGACTGACTTCTCTACCTGAAAGGACATGGGGCTGAGGCCATGGACAGCGCTAGCATCCCTTCATGCTGGTCTCCACAGTTCCCCAGCCTTCCTTCCAGCTTCAACTTTCCCCTCCTGTCCATTTTCTCACCCCCAGGGAGAGTTCTGACCTGGCCTAGAGGGAAGAAGCTAGAACAGACGGAGAGAGCATAAGTGCTCCCTGCAGAAGGAAAGACGGGCTGCTGGGGCCACCCCAGTTATCCCAGGGCATCACAAAGTCCACATTGTGACCACCATCCTTTAGCCTGCCTGGGGAAAGTCTCCAGCCTCTTTCTCTAATGCTGGGAAGTGAGAGCCCAGGGGCACACACTGTCCTCAGCTCTCTTTCCACTCAGACGTCTGAGATCTCTCTCTGGAACAAGCCTGAGGTAAACTTGTGATGTCCCCTAGAAGCCAAGCCTTGCAAGACTGTTCTGTCAGTAAATGACCCACCTTCCCCCGCTGCTATGGTTTTGGTGTGATCCTCCAAAATTCTTACTCTCTCCTTTAATTTTTTAAAAATCAACTCACGCCGGGCGGTGGTGGCGCACGCCTTTAATCCCAGCACTCGGGAGGCAGAGGCAGGTGGATCTCTGTGAGTTCGAGGTCAGCCTGGTCTACAGAGTGAGATCCAGGAAAGGTGCAAAGCTACACAGAGAAACCCTGTCTCGAAAAACCAAAAAAAAAAAAATCAACTCACAACGTATTAGATATCATTATGGCACTTTCTCTATTTCATTTTTTCTAGATTTATATTATGACACCTGTAGCCCCTACTAATACATATATACACACATAATTTATACACATACTATGGTATCAAAAACTCTTCCCTAACAAAGGAAGCAACCACAGAAAGGTTTTTAAATTGTTTTGCACTCATTCATTTAGTGTGTATGTGCTGGGGGGGGCATACATTCCATGGCGCATATGTGTGGTGATCACAGGACAGCCTGCAGGAGCCGGTTCTCTCCTTGCACTGTGTGAGTTCTAGAAATTACCAGGCTTAGTGACAAACAAAACTACCCACTGAGTCACATCCCTAGCCCCACAGAACAGTTTCATCTGCCCAGAATAGCTAGTACTATTAAAGTAACAGAAAAGCAAGAAACCCCAACAACTCTCCTTGCAAAACCAATATGCTAAACTTGGCTCCCATTATAATGTAGTTATTTTTCACACTAGTACACAAGACCCAGCTTTGATACATATGTGTAAATACATATAAAAAACAAACCAGTGTACTTCATCTTTTAGACAAGAATGCTAAATTCGTCTCTCCTCATTAAAAACCAATTGCAGCCTGGCATGTTGGTGTAGCCTTTAATCCCAGCACATGAGAGGCAGCAACAGGCAGATCTCTGAGTTTGAGAGCAGTCTGGTCTGCATATGGAGTTCCAGGCCAGCCAGGGCTACACCATCTCAAAAAATTATAATAGCTGGCTCAGTGGGTAAAAGCACTTCCCACACAAGCCTGATTAGGGGCCTGAGCTCAATCCTTCAGCTTGAAGAAAGGAAAATTGTCTTAAACCACAGTCTGCAGCTTGCTCACATCCATCTCCAGGGAGTTTCTGGCAGCCGGTCAGTGTCATTCTGGTTCTGTGGCTTGTGGATCAGCTGCCAGGCCCCAGTAGGGAGCTCCTCCCACAAAGGCAAATGTGTATGGGTGTGTTGCCTATATGTATGTATGTGCACCATGTGCATGCAGTACCCACAAAGGCCAGAAGGTGGTGTTGGATTTCCTGGAACTGGAAGTACTGATGGTTGAGGGCCACCATGTGGGTTCTGGAAACTTATCCCCAGGTACTCTGAAAAAGCAGCCGTGCTCTTAACTACCAGGTCAACTCTCAAGCCTCTGCACCCATCTTTTTTTAATGCAGGTTCTTAGGATCAAACTCAAGTCAGATAGTTTTTGTATTCCATTTTTCCTGGAGTGAGACCTGAAAATTTACATACTGATCCCTATATATAGTCATTTAGTTTGGCTCTGTTTTGCCTCTGAGCAACCTCATGGACTCATGCATATGTCTTTGCTACCTGGTACATCTTTTGTTTTGAGATGGGTTCTCACAGCCCAGGCTGACCTTGAACTGCCTTGAAATCCTGATCCTCCTTCCTCTGCCTTCTAAGTGCTGGGATTACAAGCATTACCATGACTGGTCTTTGTTTCAGTTTTTTGTATGTTTTGTTTTAAAAACTAGGTCTCCCTACATAGCCCAGGTTGACCTCAGACTTGCAGTCCTCCTGACTCAACCACTGCAAATGGTCTGGTAAACTTTAACATACAAAACAAACCCCTATACCTAATAGTTCGGCGATCAGCTTTGGTCAAAGGTGCTCAGGGGGCACTACAGACTCATAACTGTCAAAGTGCCAAGAGTACATGACTGTTGGCATACAGTACATACCCAGACATAAGTGGGACAGCCATATTACACCCTTCAAGGCTCAGGGAACATTTCGGAAGATGGGGTGGAGAGAATGTAAGATCTACAGGAAGAAGGGAGAGCAGCGTGGAATTCTGAATTCTGGGCATGACTTGGTAGTTGCACTCTTGATCTCATGACAGCTCAGATTATCTGCACAAAATCTCCAAAAGATTGGGCCAATCAACACCCGAGGATTTATATGCAGATAATGGTTGGTAGGGGAAGCAGAGAGATTTTTGTAAGCGATGGATCACATGATCACACAAAGACATGAAAGAAGAAGGAAAGTGAAGGGGATTATGGGAAAGGAAGAAGGCTAAACGAGGGTAACTGTGTGTGTGTGTATAAGAGAGAGAGAGAGAGAGAGAGAGAGAGAGAGAGAGAGAGAGAGAGAGAAGAGAGAGAAATACATTCTATATATGTATGAAGATATAATGAAACCCATTATTGTGGATAGTCAATATATGCTAATAAAAACATTTAAGAGCTAGTGTGGCAGTACATGCCTTTAACCCTAGCTCCTGGGAGGAAAAGGCAAGCAGATCTCTGTGTAGCTAGGGCTACATAGTGAGAACCTGTCTAAGATAAAAATAATACAAAATAAACTTTGCTTGGTGGTGGTGCTGCACGCCTTTAATCCCAGTACTCTAGAGGCAGAGGCAGGTAGATCTTTGAGTTCAAGGCCAGCCTGGGCTATAAAGTGAGTTCCGGGGCAGCCAAGGCTACACAGAGAAACCCTGTCTCGAGAAAGGAAAAAAAAAAAAAAACTTTGAAAAAAATCTTTAGGTGGAAGGCAAACCACTCAACAGCATAAAATGGGATTCCTAAAGTGAGATTTATGACCTGAAGCAGGAATTCTAAATCAAAACCTCTAAGCTTGGGGCTGGAGAAAGAGCTCAGTGCAGTTGCTGCCCTTTCAGAGGACCCTGGTTCAGTTCCCAGCACACACATTGGGTGGCTCACAACTGCCCATAAGTCTACTTGTAGGAGATCCAATGCCCTCTGCTATCACTTGGTGCACATAAACACATGCAGATACACATACACATAAAAATAAATAAATAAATCTTCAAAACAAAAACCTCCTATGAGAGTCCATGAGGCTGAGGCAGGTGGTGTCCAGGAGTTCTGGGCCAGCCTGAACAGCAAAAAGAGACCCTGTCTCAAACTGAAACTCAGGAGCATTTCGTTTTAGTCATCACAGCTGGATTAAGCCAGAGCTGCTCTTCTAAAGTCAAGAGGAAGCGAATAAGGGCGTGCTTAATCTCCACTCTACAGCCTAGGCCTGGAGGGTGCAGCATGAACTGCCCATGTCCTTTAGGATGATTTGGGTCAATCCAGAAAGCACTGGCAGTAACACTAGGAAGCTGTTAAGAACCCAGGGTACTTTGAGGTCCAGTATAACTGGGTTCCATTATTGATCAGTTTGCGCTTGAGAAAAATGGAAGCTAACTCCCACTTTTTAAATTTAATTTAATTTTATTTTATTTTATATGCATTGGTGTTTTGCCATGAGTGTTGGGTCCTCTGGAACTGGAGTCACAGACAGCTCTGAGCTGCCATGTGGTTGCTGGGAGTAGATACCCGGACCTCTGGAAGAGCAGTCAGTGAGCCATCTCTCCAGCACCCCTAACTCCCACTTTAAAAAAAAAAATAATTAAAATTATATTTACTTATTTGTGTGTGGCCACGGGAGTGCCACAGCATTCGTGTGGAGGTCAGGGGACATTTTGCAGTGATCAGTTCTCTCTTTCCACCATGTGGGCCCTGGGGATCGAACTCAGGTGATCAGGACTGGTAGCAAGCGCCTTCACCTGCTGAGCCAACTCGCCAGTTGGTTAATACCCACTGGTATTCTCGTGCCTTAACCGCATTGGAAACACCTTGGAGCCACTTTTGGACACTGTGATGCGGTCAGCGGGAACCAATTATTTGCACTTGGAACCAATTCTAACTGATGCTGCTGCAGCTACTGCGGGGACACGAAGGAAGCGCTGTCCTATAAGGTCCTAAGGTCCGGGGAGAAGCGCTTACTACAGGTGCAGCCACTCAAGCGCCGTCCTCTCTGTTCCCGGCCCGCCCACCGAGGGGCGCCGCCCAATCCTCGCCAGGGAGCGTGACAACGCCCACAGGTCAGGCAGCCTGTAAGAAGGCAGGTAAGGGGTGGAGCCCGCATACGCACTGCTAAGCCTGCGCAAAACAGCGAGGGGCGTGGCCCAGACGCCAGGACGGAAGCGGGAGGCTGGAGGGGCGGGCCGGCTGGTGTACCCTTTCCGGCCGGTCCCCATGGAGGCGCTGGGGAAGCTGAAGCAGTTCGATGCCTATCCCAAGACTCTAGAGGACTTCCGGGTCAAGACCTGCGGGGGCGCCACGGGTAGGTCCCGGAGCGGGCGGGGTTGTGGGGAGGGAGCTGCCCCCGCGTTTGTCTCGGGTTCTAGGACTCTCCCTGGCCTGCTAGAGGCTGAGTGGTGGGACACAGGCCATTCCAAATCTCGCTCCCGCCCTGCAGTGACCATAGTCAGTGGCCTTCTCATGCTCCTGCTGTTCCTGTCCGAGTTGCAGTATTATCTCACCACCGAGGTAAGGGGCGTGGCCTAGAACGTGGGCGGGGCTTAGCGTTCTAAGGGTAGGACCCTTAAAGCGGGGTAGGGGGTAAGGCCAAATCTGACTGAGGTAGTGTCGCTCCAGGTGCATCCTGAGCTCTACGTGGACAAGTCTCGGGGAGATAAACTGAAGATCAACATCGATGTTCTTTTCCCACACATGCCTTGTGCCTGTGAGTACCTGATTGTGGGTGGAAGTTGGAGTCCTGGGTGTGCTGGATGGGCTTCCAGATTTACACCTCTGGCCTTAGATCCCGGAATGGATGCTAGGTTATCTTCATTCCCCTAGTCCAGTACTTCCACGAGATACATCTTTCCTATCAAAGCTCAGCTCTCCAGGTCCCTGGAGGCATAGTACCTCTCTCTTTCCAGATTTGAGCATCGATGCCATGGATGTGGCTGGGGAGCAGCAGCTGGATGTGGAGCACAACCTGTTCAAGAAACGACTAGACAAGGATGGCATCCCCGTGAGCTCAGAGGCTGAACGTCATGGTAACCGAGGGAGGGGGCTGGTCTCCGATCCTAGAGCTGGACATACTCACTGCCTCCCGGAAGTGGACTGTTGCAGGCTGAGCGACATGTTAGTCAGAAGTCAGCAGGCTTGCCTAGGGTTCTCCAGCTATTAAGAGTCAAGAGTCAGTTGAATCCATGCGTCTCGTATGGGCACACTGAGTGGAATACCTTAGGGGCTGGAGAGATGGCTCCGCCGTTAAGAGCAGAACACTTTACTGTTATCATACTCTCAAGCTTGAGCAGGGGTCTTCCTTAGATAAAAGCTTGTCATGCCTTTGCTTTCCCAACGCGTTGGCTAAAGTACTTTCCCTCTTTGCGGTACCAGTGGCCTGAGGTTAGGAGTTTAAATTCTCAGGTCGAGTTGCCTGGGGTCAGGTCCAGTGCCGTCCTGCCGTCCCTGAGCACCAACTATAGTGGTAAACAGTAGCACGCCATGCGTGAGGTAAAGGACCAGGTGGGAACAGACGGTTCCCACCTTACGGCGGCATTCTGACTTTGTGAGGGTGTGAGATATCATACAACCTTTCTGCTCTCCTCTCTCAGTAGAGGATTTAGTGAGTTATTCGAGATAACCAGTACTCTATTAGGAAATAGTCCCTGTGCCAGGTGGTTTTGCCCAGCCATGAGCTGTGTATGTATTCTGAGCATGTCTAAGGCAGGTTAGATTAAGCTGTGGTATTCGGTCTCTTAGATGTATTAAATGCATTTTTTTTCAGGATATGTTAACTTATCCACCTGTAACCCCATCGTAAGTTGGGGATCACTGGTAAAGTGTATGAAAGTCCTGGTATATTGCTCACTTTCACTTCCTGTTTCCTAGCAGCTATCTCTGTTACCCTCGGGCCCTTTTTCTTCTCATTTCCCTCTTTTTTTTTTTTTTTTTGAGACAGAGTCTCACTATATAACTCTGCCTGGCCTAGAACCTCTATGTAGACCAGGTTGGCTTCAAACTCTCAGAGATCCACCTGCCTCTGCCTCCCAGGTTCTGGGATTAAAGGTGTGCACTACTACTCCAAGCTCAGACCCATTTTGATAGAGTCTTCTAGGAATAAAGTAGACTAGGTAAAGTTCCCTGTAGCAGCTGATATTTAGTATTTCCTGTTTTCTTAGCGATACTTAGTGTGCGTGAAGTGCCTAACACCTGGCCCGTCATTGTGTTGTATGAATACTGGCTTTTGTTTTTTCCCCACTGCCATGGTGAGAGCTAGGGCTGCAGATGTCACTCTGTCTGCCTCATGTTGTGCTTTGCCTCTGCCTTCTCCTTAGAACTTGGGAAAGTCGAGGTGACGGTGTTTGACCCAGACTCGCTGGACCCCAATCGCTGTGAGAGCTGCTATGGGGCTGAGTCAGAAGACATCAAGTGAGCTGAGCCCCTGGGGCATGGTGTGGGTTCTCATCAGCCACTGGGACTAGCCACCGCAGCCTTGTTCAGACTGCGGAGATGGGACCTCGGGTTTAGAGGGGGTGGGATGGATGCCCTCACTGATCCTGGTTCATGATGAAGGTTGGTAAGCAGGCCTGACCTGACAGCTGCAGACCTAGAGAAGCAGTTAGAAGGTGATCTCTGGAGTCCAGCTGCCATTTCCCCAGTTCTCGTCTTCAGTCCGAGCCACATCACTTCTCTGTTAATAAAGGAGGGTGGTAACACCTTCCTTGCAAAAGTCACATAAGGATTGAGTGTTGGGTTATATGTAAGGCCTGACGTACAAGGCCAAGGCTACATTAGGATGCCTCCAGCATGTGCTAACTGCCGTGTGGTTTCCCCAGCCCTGAGTCCTAAGAGACTGACTCAACAGGTTTAGGAAGATGTACTTTTTTTAAAAAGAGAAGAAATTGGGGCAAGTAAGGCTGGTGTTCCAGTTCAGTGCCAAACAGGCACAAGGCCCTGGAATCCACAGGACCACAGACACATACAACAACAACAATAATAGTACATGTGGCCTAAAGTTTGCATTTGAACTCTTTTTATGTTCATTGGCATTAAGGACATTCACAATACAGTGTGACCATCACCGCCTCTTCTCCTGTGACCCGTCACAGTCCCCAGCAGCATAGGGGTGTGTGCTCTAAATATTCTGCTCACACCGAGGAAGTAGTGCAAACACTTAGTGATTAGGGAGGAGGCTGGCAGAGCCTCTGCAGCAGACAACTGTTTGGGCTTGGCTTCCTGGGGTGCCACCCTGCCCATGCTCTCACCCCTGCATTCCTCCACGACAGGTGCTGTAACAGTTGTGAAGATGTGCGGGAA